GTGATTAGTAGTGGAGTCTAGGGTGCTCCTTTTGTTGCATATTGGACGAGTCAGCGGTTGATAGAACACGGTATACACTGCGTCAGATACAGTGTTACTTAATAGGCTACGCAGTCAGGTGTACAAAGAGCATCCACACATGAGCTCATATGTTAACAGGGGTCAATCAGTTCAGTCAAATATCTACATGAAAACAGAATAGCGCAAGTTATGCAATTATCAATATATGTGAGATATCCAGATACAGGTACCAGTGTATGAGTATCTAGTTGATTCGTGTATCATCTTATGTCTAATGGTGAGGTAATTTCGGTAAGAAGACTAGATAAAGTAGAAAAGATATTTGTTAAGTTGGTTGATGCAATTGGCAGGAAGCCCTGGACGGCATTTCTTGCTTGTCAGCCCTCATTTACAACGTTGATAGGTCTCTTATCGTGTCTGAGAATTGAAGCCAAACCACCTGTTGCTTCAGTCAAAGACATTCATCCAAGGATGAACCTTTGTGGGACAGTGTTATGTACATTGATTTGTAGTCAATATATATATATATATATATATATATATATATATATATATATATATATTGATAGTTGATTCTTTTCTTGTGATACAACTACCAATTTACTGATAATGATAATGCCTATAGGAGATATAGGGACTTAATAAAGAAAAGTTGACTACATCCTTCTGATAATATGTAAAACTAGAAGAAGTGGGATTAGTTGAGGAGCATGTTATTATGTCATACACCTTTGTTTCATGGATTATTTCCATTTTCATTTTAGTTATTTATGAATTAAGACGATTATTAACGCCATATATATATATATATATATATATATATATATATATATATATATATATATATATTCCTTGTCCTGTGTGGCATGCTATTCACATAGGTATACTTTGGTACTACTCGTTTCGCACTGCTTATCTGTTTCTTGAGATCTCACCTTTTGTTCTGTTGATTAGTAGTTAAGACGATTTACATTCATCATTGATAAGTGAAGTGTTGTTTACTAAAATGTGTTTCATTCGGTATACAGGCAGATAAGATCAGCATGGGACTACGCGTTACTGTACAATGCTCCAAGTTGTCATACTTCATATCTGTACAACAAGCGAGAAGGTAAAAAGATGAGAAATGACACAGGATGACGAATAAAATGAGGATAATGTGTGGATATATGTATGCCAGCTAGATTGTTTCTGAATCATGTTACCTGGAGACTCCACTCACTGATTTCTGTTGTCATGTGGCCTCCTACTGGAAAGTCGACATCCTCCTACATGGTTCAGACTAATAGTCATACGCTGATGCCATGTTTTATACTAGCCATCTCTAACTTTTTCCGGTCAACATTGTTCAGCGAAACTGACGATGACTAGGTATGCCTAATGCATCTCCCAGTCAGCCACGTCAATAAATGAAATTCCACAACTGCTTCAACTGACTTACACATTACAAACATAGTGACACCATGACAAATTTAATTGGTTGTTTAAAAAGAGGTGAATAACCTATCATACTGATAAAACATTGTCATTGTGAAAACTATTAAACAGAGTATATATTTATTGAAATTTCTTATGAGGATAGTACTTTTAACCACGCACCCATCCACCTTCAATGCCACCACTATTTTTAGGTAGTATGTATTTTGATATCTTACATGGGTTAGTAAAGACATTGAAACATTGAATGTGAATAAATGTTCAATATTGATACGAACTGATTAAATTTCCTTCTCAAGGTCAAATATGATCAAAGTTAGCTAAAATAAAAATAAATTTTAAGAAAATGGGACATTTTGAAGCTAATCAATTCCTAGGCTTTCTCTTTTTTTATAAAAACACAAAAAGGCTTATATTGGTTTAAAGACTTCATTGATCACTTATAGTTTATTAGCTGTGACTATTGGGTCACAACCAGTATTTTATAGTTGTATACTTTACACATTTAGTTTTATAATTCCGAGAAAGAGTGTATACAAACATACAGTTCGCATAGGTTCATTAATGCGTCTTATGATCTGTTTTATTACGCTTCAACAACCCATAAATTTCGTATATTCAATAGTGACTTGGACATGTGTTGTGCACACTTAACCATCAAGGTGTTATCTGAAGTAGGCATAGGTTACAGGAAAGCTAATGTTGGTTCAATCAAGATGTGACAGTGATCTATGAAGTCCTTTAACTATTTATCTGACCTACTAGATCGAGATGGTTGCATGTTGCTATGATGTTTGGCAACTTGAAGTGATATGTTTATACAAAAGGGTTTGAGACTAATCTATCTCTCTGTTAGTATATGTATTATAACAAGATAAGTAGGTGAACAATATTGTTTTCAAGGTAGTATTAATCATGAAGTGATATCAGTTGGAGAAGCATTCAAAACCTCAAGACATTGAACAGCTGTTTCGTTTCGAAACGAGACTTCTTAGGAGATACACACCACAGATCAAACTATTTGGTCACTGAGTTGGAGTTCATTGATCTACATTTTCTTACTTCTATCAATTCGTTACATTATTCGACTATCCATCAAGACTTTCAATTGAATGCACTTCACCTCCGACTTAGTTGACCCTACAAGTTACGCCTTCTCATTGGAACTTTTGGATATCCATTTCGAAACATTTCACTGATCAGCACTACACAGTAATGTAGGTTAAGATTTTATGGGAATTATATTTATTTTAGGGTAATAGTATTCGTCATAAACGGAAATCTTCTCTGATGGCTGGATGATTAACACGGTCGTCGTTAGACTTAAAAGTCTGAGTTTCATCCTTGGGAGCATTGTTAACGCTTACTTCTGAGGAGTCTCATTTGAGGGTGATACAGTTGTGTAATGCTCCAAGACTTTCAATGACTTTTCAACTGATATCACTTCATGATGAATACTACTTTGGAATAAGTTATCTCTTTATGAATCTGAAACTAAAGTTTATTTTCAATTAGACCTCATCAGCCGTCATTCGAATCTGTATAGCTTTCAATGTATATATGTGAAGCAATCAAGGTGCGTAATTTGTGAGTCAACGATAATAAAGATGCAGATTGTGTACTTTAGAATGATGATAAAAATGGCGGTAGTATGAATAATCTTCACAATGGAATGAATGGACGCAAACAGGAGTTCAGACAGATAGACAAAGTGGATCAAAACTTAGAAAAGGATACAAAAGTTGCGTAATACTGAAGGAGGCGGTGGATAAATAAATTTTAAATATCCACTCTCTGTGGTCACCGTCAACTAGATGTGACAAAATAGAAGTTCATATAGATTTAACCTGTCCTATTTCCAGCCACAATGATAGATAGGTGTTCGGTAATACGTTGGCTGAGTTGACTAGTCATACGCTCAATATAAGTGTCTATCTCCACAAGTGTAATTAAATTGATCACTACAAATGGGGGGAGGGTGACAAAGGTCAATAGGTTACCATTCATTTGATACGAAACAATTAGTCGAGTAGAAAACAATGAACAGAGATTACTTTCACAAAAAGCTCTTTTAATGATTCTTAATAGTCTGTGGAATACGATCTCAACAAGTATACCCCCAATAAATTGTAATACTTTATGAATAATGACTTTTTTCGAAAAATTACTGCTTCAAGGATTATCTATTTCAGTTAATCTACTCTAACTCATTCTGTAGAATGTTATCTGAGCAGAATGTGAAACATTTCACTCGATTTTTGTCTTAACATATCGGTATGGAATTAAAGAAGTGTATATCTATCGACATACAGATTTAGTTCATCTGTACACGCTTTTGAAGAGTGACCTATCTCATTGTCTACTTATTATATAATATCAAGGAAGTTCACCTTCTTGAAGTGTTTTTTATTAAAATTCTTCAGTAATTCCTTCTTATCCATATTCTGATCAATTGATAATGGAAGTATCATCCAATATATATCTAGCCTGTTAATAGCATACTTCAATAGTCTATTCTTTAGTGTGGAAAGAAAATATACATTCATTATACACCTAAGAATGCACCCGTGAATATAATATCACTTTCTATGCTATTCTCTACTTGATAAGCATTTTTTTATTTAAGATTAGTATTCATCATGAAATGATATCAGTTGGAGAACCGTTGAAAATCTGAGAGTACTGGAGGGTATCTGTTTCTTTTTAGTATGGGACTCCACAGCAGTGCGTGCACACATGGCCGTCCCTCTGGTAGGGCTCGAACCTGGGGCCTTCAGGTTCCACTGCTAAACCTTTACCACTGAGTCAGTTCGTGATATAGAATGACGTTCACTCAATGCTGTCGTTGAGTAACTGTTTTCACTTACAACTTGGTTGGCACCACCGATAACCACTACTCATTGGAACTTCAATAGATCTCATCTAGAAGCAATTCACTCAATAACGAGCACTATACAGTGGTTTGATCCTGAGGTTTATGGGGATTCATTTATTGATCGATTGCTGGTTGATCAGTACCAACTTGAGAATAATAAATAAGTCACTATAAACCTCCAAATCAAACTTCTTGTTTTGATTCAGTGGTGCCTTCAAATTCACAAATCTTCATCAAGCAATTAAAGTTTCATCTAAAGCTGATGTGTAATAATTGAGAATCTTTCACACCTAGCACATTGTTTTTGATAATAAAAAAATATAGGGTTTCAAAATTAATCTGGTTATATCACCTAACAATTTGTGCTCACCTGTGACATTAACCTTCAGCATGGAAACTAAGATCACTCATATGATATTTCGTAACAGTATAATCAAACTGAGACTTTTGAAACCTTGGTTCAATCATGGTTGAATGACATAATAACTTATGTCATGTATAATTTTGAAGAATGTGTCAAACTACTAATCGATGTTTCAGTAGCATAATGTTTACTCTGAAAATATGTTTGCCTGGAAACTTGAAATATCTGTATGAGAGTATAATGAAGCCAATTTACATGGGTTTATATTGTAATTTATATTTTATATTTTCAATATAATAAAAGAATGATCTTCCCACCAGTCGAGGAATACGAACTGGTTCATGTGCACTTCTGCCTCAAATTAATGAATACAATTCAACCAAATCGAATCGGAATCCTAAATCAACCAAAAATATAGCATTAGCAGCTAAAGATCATGTGGAATCAATGCATCAAAGTTTGAAAACCATACTATTATACGGAAAAAATAATGTTTAATGCAACCGGTAAGCTTAAAATGTTTTTGACAATGTTTCATTTTTCAACTGCCTTTATTTTTGACTTGAAATTGTTCCACCTTTATTCTTTTTACTAGAAAAGTACATTTATTCAGAAAATTACAGTATAGAATTCAATGTTAATGAACTTGAGTATACTTACTGTATTTTTACTTTTCAGTTTTAAGGTTAATAGCTGTTTGAACTTGACGGGTGATGTCTATCACCAACTTTCATCTTAAAGAAGTCAACTTTTGTTCTCTGTGATTTCTACATTCAGTGTAACCGAGTTTAAGAAGTGTCGGATATCTTCTGACCAGATAGATTTCAATTCTGTGAACATTTACATGAATGGAATGATATCCTCTACTCTTCTTTATTTCTAATGGGCATAACCTTAGAAATCTTTGAATTCACAGGGATTAATTTACTCACTAGACTACATCTAGTTGACTGGAAGTGCGCAGACAATGTTGTTCTACTTAGTGAAGATGATGATGATAAATGCAGGGTCTTCTGAACACGTTGAGTAGAAATCTAAGTATGTTTGGCTGGCATAGGTTTCATACCTGTTAAATGTAAGATGATATTTCAGGACTAGTTTAAGGATAGAGAGTGAAATGGTTGAATGCTGTCGATATCACATCTTGAACACAGATGGTTCGTTAGATGTTTACAAACTTGCTTTATCTCCGGTGCCTGCTGGAGATAAACCCGACTACTTGTTAAAAGGATGAGTATGATGCATTGTAGTGGTTGTGATACATGGAGACTGAAGACAAAAGATATGAAGAGATTACACATTTTTGAGCATTGGTATCTTTATAGCATTACTCCTGTTTAGTGGAATCATCGTATGAACAATGTCGAGGTTAGGCGAATGATAATAGGCAAGGAAGTGAAGTAAATCGATAGGGCGCTGTGAACTTTCAGTGACTTAAATGGCTTGTCCATATGTTGCAATTACTAAGCTGTAGGAAAAGTTGGATTGGATTTAGGGAAGGTCTAGGTTAGTTAGACAAAGATTTAGTCTCTGAATGTTAGTTTGAGTGACTGTGAGGTGGTACAGATTATCTATTTAGATAATCTTAGTGAAATGCTACAGATATCGTCTATTTCCTGAACATTTTCACTAACCTTCAAATTCCTTCTCTTCCCATATACCCTTGTCTACTTTGATATCAGCTACTTGTTCTTTGCATTCTGCAACTATGACGTGTTACAAGTTGAACCGATACACTTGTATGCGAGACTTTACATTAGTTTTCTCTTCCTCTCTCTATCACTGAACACATCTGATATAAGAAAGACCAGTAATTACTGGATGTAAAAACAGAAATGTGGTATTTTTTTTTTGTGGCTAGGAATGATTATTCAGTAGACAGGTAGTTGATAAAACGAATTACTATTTCGCTTCATAACTTCCTTTGAACATGATGAAACCTTCTTACTCCAAAGGTAGAATACATTTATCTAATCCATAGGTGAGTAAATGTTTGAAGTGGATGATTATAAGTGAATTAAAATTATAACTGTGAGTGACAGGATTTCTAAAAACAATCTCCTAGATACCGCATATATTGTCATTAAATCTATTCAGTTAATTTAGTATTTATATTTCCTAGTAAATGAATAGCGAAAAACATTTCTTCAACTGATGTTTTGCTGTTTAATACTGATCACTTTATCAAAGTAACAATAAACCGGAAGCTTATATGTGATAAGTTGATTTGAGTTCTTTTGGATGAATGATTCAACATTGTCCGAATACATATATAGTGTATTCAATGTGTGTGTGTGTGTGTATGTAGAGTGTATGAATTACAGTTTAGCATTTGTATATACACATATGTTGATGGTACTTTTTACTTTTGTGTTGGTAATATCAGTATATGGAGATGGGTTGTGACTAGGTCAAACTATGTTTATTCCCTCACTCCTTCCTATTTAGACAATTCCGATTGCAGTTTATGTGAAGAAACGTTCTCGATAATTCCTAGTCTTTCTGAATAATTTCTATATTGTCAAAGTCGACATTTTGACATGTAGAGCTATGGCTGAAGTTCTATTCAAGTTGCTTTTTAATTCCACTAGATTTCTAGGAGGTCGAGTGGAAGCTCTTCGGTGTTCATTTCTCCTCATTTTTATTTCAAGGCAAGTCTGTTCTATGTATCTTACACCATAGACTGAGTATTTTATTTTATAAACACAATTAGATTGTGAATCTACAGGGAACTCATCCTTCACATGGTCTAAGGTGTTCTGGAATGTGTTTGATGTTCTGTAGAATACTCTGATGATGTTTCGTTTGTTCAACACTCTCCTAATTTCATCTTTGTGTTGAGATGCATGATTAAGGAGTAGTTTTACAGAGTAATTTATTGTTATTTTCTATTTTGTGAATGAATTCCCATTGGATATTATTCATTTTAAGTATCTTGTTAATATATTTTAGTTCCTTAACTCGCGTTATTAAAGTGTGTGTGTGTGTGCTCTGCCTATGAGACTGGAGGCAAGAGAAACTTTCATACTGGTGTTTGGATGTGATGAGTTGAAATGTAAATATTTGTTCGCATGTGTTGCTTTCCTTATACCTAAATGACCATTTTCTCTCCACTTAACAAGACAATCAAGGAAAGGTAGTTCCCCTCCTTATCTGTGTCTTCTTCTCGGTTGAACTTGATACACTGGGAGATCTAGAGTTCAGCTGATCAAAGAATGTCTGCTGTAAGTTGTGTTTTAAAGATGACGAATGTCTCATCAAGGTATCTCAGTGAAATATCTGAGTTTAGTAAGTGAGTGAAGACACTTTCTTGAAATCTACTCATAAATAAGTTAACAAGTATGGGTGAAGCAGGTGAATGTATAGCAACACCATCAGTTTACCTGTATAGTTCTCCTCTATATGTGAGGTAAGTATAGTCTCTAAGCAGAATTTTAAGGCCTTGATGATGTCGCTGGTATTCAGTAGACATCTTTCTATCAGTGACGTGTACAAGTTTAATAAATGAGAAATAATACCTAGGCTGTCATTAATTGGAATACTAGTATATCAAGAATTGATGTCATAGCTTAACTTAATTTCATATTTCTCAGTTTTAAATGAAGAAATGTTTTGGACTTAGAGTCAAGCTAGTCACTTATTGTGTACTCTGAATGTTTTTTTCAGGGGTCTTAAGGAGACTGTATGTTTTTAAGTTAGTCAAGTCTACAGTTGACATCAATGGTCTTATATCCTTAAATTTTTCTGGCTTTCTATATATCCATCCAACTTAATCCACCCCAAATAGTCCAGCTGAGGAATTTCAGAATATATATATATATATATACATATATATATATATATATATATATATATATATATATATATATATGTATCTTCGACCGAGAAGTAATTTCGCAACTTCTTCAACACTACGGTTTCAGTGCCCCAAACCTTTATCAATCTCATTCAACAACTATATGAAGACGCCACATGGCAAGTAATTCACAACGGGAAGATCAGTGATGCCTTCGAAGTGAAGACAGGAGACAGGAGTAAGACAAGGCTACTGTCTACTATCACCGATGATCCTCCTGATTGTGTTGGACTGAATGATGCAGCTAACTATGAGGAGTGAGAAAAGGGGAATATGCTGTACCGGAAAAAGATCCTAGGAGAAGATTTGTATTTCGCGGATGACTGTGTCTAATGTCACTTGAACTTGAAGATGTACAGGCAAGAACTAAGAAGTTGACAAAAGAGACGAGGCGAGGCGAGGCAGGGCGAGGCAGGGCAGCGAAGAGGAGACTACAATTGTGTATGTAGAGAAGACAGAGGTGGAGGTGATGAAGATACCCAGCCAACACTATTACCAAGGAGAAGAAGAAGAAGAAGAAGTACCAATCAATAATAATGGGAGAGACGTAAAGGAAGTAGCATCTTTCACCTAGTTACCTATACAGCATCGTCTGAACTAGAGGTGGTGCAGGCACAGACGAGGAGGTGAAAGCCAGCATAGGAAGGACAGCGAGATAGGCCTTCATTAACCTGAAACCAGTGTGGAGATGTGCACTGCACTCAGTGTAAAGCGTGAATAAGATTGTGATTTTGAACACTGATATCAGTGGAGTCAGTGTTTCTATGTGATGGTTCAGAAACTTGGGGTGTTATGAAAATCATTTCCAACAAGGTAGAGATATTTATCAACGACAGCGTATTCTGGTTAGTGAAGATCAGGTGAGATGTCCAGAATAGTAAGAATAAGGAACAAGGAAGTTTGGCTTGCTGGCAAGGAACCAAGGAAGTAGGAAGCTATTGCTGAACAGATATGTGGTTGAATGAATTGGAGATGGATTGGGTATGCACTGAGAAGACTGTTGGGTGACATCGCGCACCAGTCCTTCGAGTGGAACCCAGATGGGAAGCGATGAATTTGGCTTCCGAGGTGAAGCTGAGATGGAGGAGATGGTGTGAGGAATAAATGAGAGGTTGTGGGTAGTTGTGGAGGCAGGTTGAAAAGATTGCAGAGAAGAGAGTGGAGTGGAGATGTGTTACTGAAGTCCTATTTTCGACTAGGAACCGAAGAGACAAATCATAATAATATATACATGTGTATGTTTATTTTACTTTGCATTTCTTAGGTTTCACTTATTTCCTTGTAATGCTTCTTCATAAAATATATACAAACCATCCACACATGCCTCACTCTCAAAATGTTTTTTCTTGCAGACGAATTCATCTGATCCTATACCTGGTTATCTCTCATTAATTAGTTGTGAATCTGGTAAACTGGTTTTACTCAAATGGACACCAAATTCAGCTGTAACAAATCAATACAATTTGTCACCATTATCACTAACAAACACTATCAACAATAACAGTAATAATACTAATCTATATTCTTCTACAGATTCTTTAATCGATTCAAGACTTGACATTGATAGTATTGAAGATAAAGAGTAAGTGTTTTACATGCTATTTCTTTCTTTGCTACCAATTACTACATTGTCTTTGCCTTAAACAAGTCTGTCAAGAGTATTTTGATCTCATATGAAAAGTGGAACGTGATCAAGGCGTGTAATAATCAATCATAACTAATTTTAGCAAAGTAAACTGAATAATTCTGGCAAATTGTGGCATTTCACTCATTGTAGTGAGCTTCAAGTGATCATGTTAACTTTTAGGATAGTTAGTTTATTTCAAACGCTTTTATAGTATAATTTTTAACATATGTCTATAGAAAAGTCACTACTGAGTTGCAAAGTCTATTTTAATGTGCTTAGTGTCCTAAAGTGTTTTAGTTATTTGATTTTAGCTACTTATGAGTAAGTTGAAATGTTGTGCATAAAATATGAGCTTGTTAATTTCTGAATTTCTGATAAGCTGTGGCCCTGCGATATCAACCAAATGAAGACATTCATAGATATTCGCCTTGTATCGTGAATTGACAGAAGTAGGAGACTATAGATCATTGAAATCCGACCAGGTGGCTGGATGACGAACTGGTTCACTGGGAAACTTGATGGTTTTGAATTCGATCTGTCGTACTGGGTACATACTGCTAAGGAGTTTCATATTGGGATGAAGTCGCTGTCCAATTCTTCTAGGTTTTCAGTGGTTCTCCCATCAACTTCAAAATAACGAGAAATTGTCAGCAAGTCAAAGATTATTCAGGTGGAAACCATTTTAATCGCTAGAATTCAGCTTTACCCGACAGAAAAACCATTTAAGTTCAAAGTAGACAGATGAATGCCCCCAATTTTCTTCACTGAAACACATCAAAGTAGGAATGAACGAGAACAGAGTGAAATGCTTAAGAAGACTCAATCAAAAATCTTGAGATCCCATTCTATTAAAGATGAAACGAAAGCGAACGAAACGCGCTTGGCCACGTTTTACACATTTATGCACTAGGCAATGAGCCACACTAGTGAAACTACCTGGCTGCCTAGACCTCGGTAAGTGGGGCGGACCTCGAACCCGTATCCAAGTAGTTGTTTGTCACCACTTGACTACAGCTTAACATTGGCGGTGGTAAAAGCGAACAGTATTGTGGTTTAGCACAGTGTTTTGTAGTCTTTGAAAAAATTTTTCATTATCCATTTCATTTTCATAGCATTTCTATTAAATAATTAAATCGAAACGCACTCAAAACCTTGTTAACATTCATGAAGTAGGCAATAAGTTGATGCTATCACCTGCCTGCTCAAACCTCGGTAGGTGGAGTGGGGTTCGAACCCTGGACCCAATCGGTTGAAAGTCAATTTCCTAAACTAATTAATCATAGCTCCATACACTTCCAATAAGATCATAATAATATATTTATATGGCATCATTACGGGAGGTTAGCTTGTCGCTAATCAAAGTAGATAATTGCTACACAGAATGTTACATGTCTGCCATGATTTTAAACCGATTGGTTATGTAACGGTGAAGTGTGTGAAATTTTGACTTGGTTTCAAACGCCTAGTTCTCTTCATGAAGTTAAAAAAGAAGAAAAAAAGAGTAAAAGCCTTGGAATTCTTGTTGTTATGTCTGTCTAGGAGTGACTATAAAGACTATCCTAGCAACTACAGAAATAACCAATCCGGATGATGGTATTTTTGTTGGGTCGATGGTTTCTCATAGAATAAAGAAAAGTGTCTTTTAAAGTTACTACTGTCTAGTATTGACTGTTTGATTTGCCTCATTGACTTCTAGCCTTGACGTGGCAGATGATTAGTCGTCTGACTTTAATAGCCACTCTAACAGTTGCTGAAATGACCAATTAGTTATCTCTATGTTGCTTGAAAGTCTAGTTCTTCATAAAGTATAGAGAAGTAATTGGGCATTTCAGTAGTTACTGGAGTGACTTTTAATCCTGTACCTACTTCAGCAGAATATTTTCAGTGTGTTATGTACACGTGGGTTGAGGTATGATTAGATAGTGTGTATGACAGGTGAAATTAAAATCCCTCCCACGGTGGGTGTCGAACCCTAACCACCAAGAATCCTAACGTCTAGCCCACATAGGATGGGATGCTTGCCGCAAAACACCACCTTCTTCAAAGTGGTCGTACATATTGACTCACAAACGTGTACCCATTTGAAAAAAATGCACACATACACACACATCCGAATTAATGCACATACAGTTTTGCTTATACTCACTAGCATGTAGACGGAGTAGAATAGTACTCAAACTATATAGTCACAGTTATTGCCTCTGTCTAGTAGTTAGTGATTGGCTTCTAATGGTCATCTTGCACATGATTAATCTTCCATATACTTGCATAATTTGGTCACACAATGAGTGACCTGGCTTAGCCCTCGTAACCTTGTACAAGGGAACACAAAGTCTTGTGGTTATGATCTATCCGTATATGTCTTCAATAGTCTGATTCCTTTGCAGATGTACAACTTAGAAAGTATCTACCTGTTCACAATACACCATAATTTGTAGTAGGGAAACAAATGATTTTATGCTCAGAAGATATAATAATACATAAATGAGTAAAATAATGCTAGCAATGATACTAATCTAAGGTTCATATTTTCTAGTTTACGGTTTATATAACACCTTCGTCTTTTCTGAAGATTCATCGATTAGATAGTTGTTAGGTGTCTAGAACCAATCTCGCCTTGATTTTCATCATTCTCTGTTTGACCTTCATAGTTATGATCTGAATTTTCGCTGTGACGGTGTTCTCTTCTACTTCAACCGTTTATCGGTTTCTGCTTAAAAATCTAACTGTACGTTGTAGTTTTGTCTTTTCTTTTCAAAGCATTTGTGAGGAGTATTTCTGTAAATGATCCATTTGTCTGATCCATATTATATCTTGAAATTTCACTTCATTTATAAAATCTCTTTGTCTTATATCAATAATAATTTCAGGTATCTAAGTTTCATTATGGCTTTGACTAATCACGAATTTTGCTGGAAATAGCTTCATATCTGCAGGTTATACTTATCATCCATTTTAATTTATATACTATTCACATTTCTTCACATTACATAATACCATTTGAAAAAAGAGAAAGGACATTTTGAACACTGAAGAAATGACAAAACGTTTTAGCTTCCAGGTTCGAGAAAAAAAAATATACATTTGGCATCCCTGTGTCATCCCCGATTTCCTTAACTCTTACTAAAATGCATAACTAAACCATTTTGTATTGCTTAAGTTTACATTCTATTACATTTAATGTGAATTCATTCTTTAAGTATTAATAAAGATCTATTGATGTAGGAAAATTTCTTCAGAAAAGTGTAGTCAAGCCTCCTCGAAAAGATGTGACTTTCATTGATTATAAGAATCAATTGAAAATTAACTGATCGTTGAAAAACACAAAGTTGTACACTTCGAATGGCCTATTCGTATCTTCTTATAAAGGTTTATATCTCATAATTGTTGATACATTATTACTCAACTATTGAATTTGTACAGAGTATATTCTTTGCAAGAACCGGCGTCAAATCATGCTGCTGTCCACCCCAAGCAAAATATTATGCCGCATCATCCTGGAGAGACCAAACGATGGGGAGGATTCAAAACCAAAACACGAACAGGCTGGCTTCAGGAAGTACAAATCATGTGCGGATCAAATTGCGACGCTACGCACCATCATTGAACAGAGCATAGAATGATAGTCAAGTCTCTACCTCAACTTCATCGACTTTGAAAAGGCCTTCGACAGCGTCGACTGACAAGTAATCTGGCAGTTGCTTCAACACTACGGTTTCAGTGCCCCAAACATTTATCAATCTCATTCAACAACTATATGAAGACGCCACGTGGCAAGTAATTCACAACGGGAAGATCAGTGATGTCTTCGAAGTGAAGACAGGAGACAGGAGTAAGACACAGCTACTGTCTACTATCACCGATGATCTTCCTGATTGTGTTGGACCGAATGATGCAGCAAACTGTGAGGAGCGAAAAGAGGGGGATACTCTGTACAGGGAAAAAGATCCTAGGAGAAGATTTGTATTTTGAGGATGACTTGTGTCTAATGTCACTTGAACTTGAAGATGTACAGGCGAGAACTAAGAAGTTGACAAAAGATGCGAAGCGAGGCGAGGCGAGGCAGGGCAGGGCAGGGCAGCGAAGAGGAGACTTCAAGTGAATGTAGAGAAGACAGAGGTGGAGGTGATGAAGATACCCAGCCAACACTGTTACCAAGAAGAAGAAGAAGAAGAAGAAGAAGAAGAAGAAGTACCAATCAATAATAATGGGAGTGATGTAAAGGAAGTAGCATCTTTCACCTAGTTACCTATACAGCATCGTCTGAACTAGAGGTGGTGCAGGCACAGACGAGGAGGTGAAAGCCAGCATAGGAAGGACAGCGAGATAGGCCTTCATTAACCTGAAACCAGTGTGGAGATGTGCACTGCACTCAGTGTAAAGCGTGAATAAGATTGTGATTTTGAACACTAATATCAGTGGAGTCAGTGTTTCTATGTGATGGTTCAGAAACTTGGGGTGTTATGAAAATCATTTCCAACAAGGTAGAGATATTTATCAACGACAGTGTATTCTGGTTAGTGAAGATCAGGTGAGATGTCCAGAATAGTAAGAATAAGGAACAAGGAAGTTTGGCTTGCTGGCAAGGAACCAACGAAGTAGGAAGCTATTGCTGAACAGATATGTGGTTGAATGAAGTGGAGATGGATTGGGTATGCACTGAGAAGACTGTTCGGTGACATCGCGTGCCAGTCCTTCGAGTGGAACCCAGATGGGATGCGATGAATTTGGCTTTCGAGGTGACAGTGATATGGAGGAGATGGTGTGAGGAAGAAATGAGAGATTGTGGGCAGTGGTGGAGGCAGGTTGAAAAGATTGCAGAGAAGAGAGTGGAGTGGAGATGTGTTAGTGAAGCCCTATGTTCGACTAGGAACCCAAGAGATAAACAATATAGTAATATACAATGTTGAATATTGTATTTTAACCTTCATCTTATAACTGTGAGTTTACTTGTATGTCTCCTATCCATATACTCACTTCTTTGCTGTGCTCTTTTCCACTCAACCTTGTTAGATAATATACTGTCCTAGATTATCGTGTACGCCTTGATGATTTGACGTTGCCGAATAACGGTTGTCTTAGCATCATGTACGATAGGGAAGTTGAAAGGAAAGATGAGCTTACTTTTACCTCACAGGAGTGATGTTATATTTCTCGGGTGATGGTTTGGACGATTGTATTTGTGTTAAACTTGGTTTTGGGTTTTCCTATCGTGTCGTATGATCAACAGACTGAAGGAGATGCGTAACGCTGATCCCAACTATTATCATTCCACTCTTCCTTCCAGGTTACTACGTTCTACTTGATCCTACAGCCACTAACTTCATACCAACAAACTCAGAGAAAAAAGCAACCAATGTTCTGTTGTCGAATCCTGACTACTGACCAAACTCTGCTGATTTATTTGCAATGTGGCCAGAAGACTAGGAAATTCTTAGTCGTAGTCCACTCTTAATGGATATTAGTTGGATAGAGGCAGTCTGCAGATAGTCCTGGCTGACTTAGGTTTCATGCTTGTTGGTATTTGTCAGTGAGCCGTACCTAAAACCTCGAGAGAACTGTTATCTCCTGTGAAATTCGAACACCTACCACCCAGTGTAACGGTGAGACATGTGTTGCCAATGACCTATTCAGGCTACAAAATATGAAGGAATTGTATAAGGCGGTCTAACCATAGTGTAAAAGAATGAGGACACTCATGTTTGACTGATATGCTTCCCAGTTATGGATAAAACAAGCCATATATGGGTTCACTACAGATGTTGCCTTCATTATTACAAATTTCTGTGTTTCAAAATGACTTCGTGTTATGTACTACTTATAAATGCTGAAATAAGTAGCATAGCTCATAGATATGTATTATATGATATTTTTGGTGGTAGTAGTACTGAAATAGGAAACAATTTCACTCAGCTAACTGATATTTTTTTATATGTAACCTTACCTTTCCTATTTACTGTCAACATTTCAATGAATATTCAGTCTATGAATAATTGAATAACATATACTTGTATTTGGTATTACTTTCTTGTTGACAGTTGACGCTTGTCACTTTTAAGGAGTTGACTTTCAACTAATGGGTCTCAGACTGGAACACCTCTTCACCTGGTATGGTTTGAAATTGTCAGGCAGTAGTCATATTAAGCGTCATACAATAGGTGTTGTGATTCATTGCCTATTGCATAGATGTCCACAAGATTGCTAAGTTTTTGATTGATAAGCATTGTATAAATGGATAGAATTATAAGTGTGAATTTCCTTTGAAGAAATTAAGAAATAAAACGAACACAAATAACTTGTCAACAATGAATCAAACGTTTGAGTTACGCGTAAAATCCCAAAAATATGGTTCTATATTAATAAATAATATTGAGTAATAAAACAAAAACCTCAAATCATGAGGTATCTTTGAGGTTGATCGCTTTCTCAAAACACTTGCAAAGGGTATGCCAATAGTAAAAACAACAAGGCCATGTCCAAGTAACCAGAAGAGAATATTAAAGATGCGCGTTAGTTCTCACGATGAGGTAAATATGCAGGATAAACAAATATTCAAGTCAAAATGTAACATTAAGAGGGACAAAGAAAGAAATTATAACAGCATCATGAAGTATGAAAGATACTAATATCTATGGATGAGAAATAGTGGACAATTTACAACGAAACAGAGTGAATAGTCATGACTGAAGGTGAAGCAACATTAAAAGGAAACATGAACTATACTTTTATAAACTTCAGGATCAAAATTTGACCTGATAGGGTTGAATAGGTTGAGCATTGGGTAATTGGATTATAAATGAAATATATTTTGTCAAATCCCAATAAAATAGAGAAATAAATTTCTAACACTTCACGACTTCGTGGAAATCGCTTCTTCAGAGAATAAAACTTGTACAAGTCATCGACTATTTAAATAGTAAATGGTAACGAATCAGATCACATTGTCTGTCTATACATGATGATAATATGAAGGTGAATATCATTGTTATGCAGGTCAGGAAGCGTTCACAATTTGTCTTTGTTTATCAGTTGATTAGTCTGGAGGTCGTGATGATATGAATATGTGTACATGTAACTGTGTGTAAAAGTGTAAGAAAAAATAAATCAATAATATGGTTCGGATCCGTTACCTTCAGGTTCCGTGGCCAGCACGTTACCATTAAGCCTTTTGGTCAGAATCCAGTGGTCCATATTGACAACTTCTGTTAGTGGTTGCGCTATATCGTGAGCTAACAGAAGTTGTAAATATGGACGATCGGATTAATGGTAACGTGCTGGCCACGGAACCTGATAGGTCGTGGGTACGGTCCACTGCGGGGTCATAGGTGCGTGCTGGTGAGCAGTCTCATACTGGGCAAAACAGCTGTCCATTGCTCCCAGGTTTCCAATGTTCCTCCAACTGATGTCGGTCTACGATGAATAACAACTTGGAGTATTTCCAAATCCACACAACTCCCTTTAAATAATATGGATGACACATTCGGTTTGGCTGTGTGTACGTACTTTTGATCAGATCATTGTGTGTCATCCATATTATTTAGTCATTTTTTCTTACATTTTTACACCAGTTACATGTACACATATTCATATCATCACGACCTCCAGACTAATCAACTGATAAACAAAGACAAATTGTGAACGCTTCCTGACCTGCATAACAATGATATTCACCTTCATATTATCATCATGTATAGACAGACAATGTGATCTGATTCGTTACCATTTACTATTTAAACAGTCGATAACTTGTACAAGTTTTATTCTCTGAAGAAGCGATTTCCACGAAGTCGTGAAACGTTAGAAATTTATTTTTCTACTTCATTTATGAACTATACTACTCAAAAATAATAAGTAGCAAAAAACTGAAGATAAAAAAGGGGAAAGGGAATATCCTTTGGGGTAAACGAGAACGAGTAATAAAGGAATTAACAATAGGTTACCAATTAGTTTCAAGCTGACAAGCGTTTAGTATAAGTCAAATTTATGTTTTGTATTATAGCATAAGATTTAAGTGGGTCGATGAGGCTGTGAACCTTTAAATGACCTAGATGGCTTGGAAATCTATTTTGTATGCCCAACATCCGCCAACTAACCTTAATGTGCACTATTTATTTAACTATGTAATCTAAATGTGGGTTTACTTGGCATATTAAGAAGCGATGACGGTGATTTAATGTTTGCCTCTTCTTTTTAGGACTTACTGGGGTTATGCAATAAAAATAAAAATGGATGATATTGTCTATGCTCATTATCATGAATCTAGTAAGTTTTATTTAACCATATGTCTGTTAATATGATAGATAGCATACTGACACTTGAAAGAGATTGACCTCTGATGATGGTATGACTCGTTCAAACTGTCTTATGTACTACAAAGTCTGTACTTTCTTGTAGGTGAGATGGTATCAGCTGAATTGTACTGCAATCCGTTTTGTTTTGTTATTCGGTCAAGATATAGCCGTTAAAAGTAGAAGGTCTGAACAGATTACAGGTTTTTGACAATAGATGTCTTTGTAGCACTACTCACATATGTGAGAAGTGTCGAGATTAGGCGAAGGGTCTTAGACAAAGCAGGGGAGCCAGTCGATCAGATTATGAACGTGCACTGCCTGAGGTGGCTCTGACATGTGTTGCACATGGTGTGCCATCACCTACCTCGACGTGCTATGCTAGGAGTTGAATTAGATGGATGGCTAAACCAACATGTGGCACCCGTGAATAAGGTTCTTGACTACTAGTCTGATCCGTGTAAAGAGGTGAAGACTACATGCCAGGAGTCTTTAAAACAACAAGAATCAGTGGTTTGGAATTCTTGGTGACAATCACCGGAGTGTATTGCCTCTTTGACGTCTTCTAAAGCATCAACGTTTTGACGTTTTCGAGTTCGTTCTCCTCCTATGGATCTTTGTTTACTTTGATATCAGTCTTTTTCGGTTCATTTTTTCTTTGTATACTAATATGAAGTGTAGGAAGTTAAACTGAATCACTTGTGTACGTGGTTCTATATTGATTTATCTGTCTTTCGCTTCATTGTAGAACATTCTATTGATATTCTTTGCTTCAGCTGCATGGTCTGCAGCAAGAACCGTTCTGGTAGTTAGCCAATAGTTATCTGCTTAATTCAACGGAGAAGTGATTCCCAAAATATCAAAGTTTCATATTCATTACAGTATTAAAAAGGTTTATATTTTCTGTGGATTTCAAAGTTGAAATATCTTATGTAAGGTTTAAGGGGGAACTGTTTTCCCACAATTATACACCGGGGGACATCACTGGGCCACAGTCAAAGAGTTAAGTGACTGACTGAGAAAATTGGCTCAAGTTACTATACTTCACAAAAGTACACAAAGAAACAGGTGGACAGCAAAAGGCTCATATCAAAGTAGATAACGTAGTGTGAGAGGATAAACAATTAGAAGTTAACGACCAGCTCAAATATCGAAGCTTTGAATGTTAGGGAGTGAATACACTTGCGACATTGTGACCGATTTTCAGACATATCACCAAGATTTCTCAACTACTGATTCCTTTCGTCTTGGGGACCCCTCACACTGTGATTCCACCAAACACGAGCAATAAAGACGTCTGTTATCGAAACTCCGTAACCGCTTCATGATTCTACTTTTAACGATCATGTCTCATAGTCATACAACAGGACATAACGGTCTGTAGCGCAGTATACTCACCCTTTGATAGATAATCAGATGTCTCAGTGGTCTGTGCCACAAATGACGCAAGTTGGTGAATGTCAAACGGGCCTTCTGTATCCGAGCTGAGATCTTGTCAGCAAACAGCCGATTCAGGGTGATAGAACTCCCCAAGTAAGTGAAATCGGTCGACACATTCCATCACTTCACTCCTTATCATCAAACTGGGAGTATTTGCAGCAGACCAGTCATGCAGTATCACCTTACATCTGACAGGTGCGAAACGCATACCAAACATAATCAGATTTTTCTTCAAGGCCTTCAGAAGACCTTGTATTTTGTCGGCATCTTCAGCTAAAGTTGTGCGTCACCTACACAGATATGAAACCCACCAAATTTCCACACATTCGATAAATGATATTTGTAAGTAACGTGTACACGAAACAACAGAAGGATGAGTTCGATTAATTAACTCATGTTTGTTAGCTCTTAGCAAGAGACAAGAGCACCAAAGTTGAATGTTTCGCTAAGTTTATTTGTTAAATTTCTTGATACGCGCTTCTTAATAGTCAATGTTTTATCTTGTATTGTTAACTTAAAGTATTTCTAATGCATAAATCTATTTGAATCAAGGAAAGGCAAGTGACCTCTTTGTGAAGTTTGCGCTGATATGATGATGATGCTTCGAATGACAATGAAAGCTCTATAATTAAAACGTTCAGCTCAAAGAATATAACAGCATGAAAAGTGAAACTAGTTAAGAATTGAAAATAAATAAACATGTTAACCTGTGATGAAGATTTCCATCTTGAAATAAATAAAATCTTCATAAATCTTCAAAGGTACATTGCTGTAGAGTACTCATAGGTGACACACTTTGAATATCCCGAAGCTGTTGACCTGTGAGGTCAACCAATTGAAGGTGAAGTCAATACCTTGGTGGATAGTTGCTTTTTATCGCAAATTTAAAGATGTAGGAAACTGTGAACGATTGAACTCTGACATGGTGACTGAATGGTTAGTACATAGACCTGAGTTCGAACCCTGTTGGGGTGTTGGACATGTACTGCAGAATAGACCTATAGTAGGACTGAAATAAAAAGTTTCGTTAGTCTAGACAGTTGATTTTTTACCAATTGGGTTGTCAGTTCGAAATATGCTCAATCTGGTGGCGTTTATGCTGTCCGATGTGGTTTATCGCCTTCTGGATGAATGGGCCGACTAGTAGCTTTAGTGTGTTCAAGTTACTATGATATATGGAATACACTACTGAAAGATTTTAGCAGTGTAATTTCAAAAGAAACTAAATTCATCAGTGTCAACCTATTGTTGAAACAGACTTCATGTTTAAAATATTGGTTAGGATTTTGAACCCCGTTATCCCTCTAGTGAAGTTTCGACTGATAGGATAAACGGAACTGGATGCTTAAACTATACTTGGAATGGTTAAAATTCCATATTAGGTAACTTTATTTGATATAGCCATAGTCCAACAGTTCTTCATCCTCTCATTTCAATCGTAGTATTATTTTCCCAATATTTTCTACAATATATCATGAATCATTTCTGTTGCGTGTGTTAGGTGTTGATTCAATGAACAAAGATTCCGTGGTCAGTCGTTATCTCCATCTAGATTTACTGGATTTTCGAATGATTACCTTATTCCACCCACTATATAGTGTTATTATGGGTCAGTGCATGTAGAACGATAGGCGGGTTTTTCTCTGGATTACTTATCTTAGTAGGACCTACCATTGTGGGTTTCACCAAATTTTTGTGCTCCACTATTCTGACTTGAACTCATAATCATTAACTGGTAGGTTATGTTGTTGTCTATGTGAACGCGCCACATTGCAAGTGATCCACGATGGAAAGCTCAGCGACGCCATTGAAGTGAAGAGAGGAGACAGGAGTAAGACAAGGCTGCCTAATATCACCCATGATATTCCTGATTGTGGTAATGCAACAAATCGTGAGGAGTGAGAAGAGAGGGATACACTGGACCGAGGAGAAGATCCCACGAGAAAATTTGCATTTCACCACTCATCATCATTTATATCTAATGTGTTGTCGCACAAACTCGAGTACCTGTAGGCAAAATCTAACAAGTTGTCAGAAGAGGTGAGGCAGCGAAAACACGACTTCCTTCAAGTGAATGTAGAGAAGATAGAGGTAGAGGTGATGAAGATACCCAATGAACAACAGCATCAACAACAAGAGGCACAAATCACCATCAACTGGAGAAACCTAAACGAAGAAGTCTCTTTCACCCACACACACACCTACACCTACACCTACCTAGGCAGAGCAGCATCGTTTCAACTACAGGCGGCAGCACAGGCACAGACGAGGATGTCAAAGCAGCCAGGATCGGAAAGACAGCAAGACTGGATTTCATCAATCTGAAATCAGTGTGGAGATCTACTGCACTCCACTCCACTCAGCACAAATCGTGAACAGTGTGAGGATTTTCAACACCAATGTCAATCAAGTCAGTGTTTCTGTGTGATGGATGGTTCAGAAACTCGGCGTGTCACGAAAAGCATTTCCAACAAACCACATCAACATCTGCCACCTACACTGGCTCGATGCTGAAGATCAGATGAGATCAGATCAGATCAGATCAGATGGCAAGAATAGTGAGAATAAGCAACAATGAACTCTGTCTGGCTTGCTGGTAACCAACCAACCAACCTACAACCTATCACGCAACAAATATGCAGATGAATGAAGTGGAGATGGATTGGGCATGGACTGAGAAGGCCGATTGGGGACATCACGTGCCAGGTCATCTAACAAATGGAATGCAAAGGGGAAACGACGAGTTGGGCGTCTGAGCTGAGGGTGATGTGGAGGAGATAGCGTGAGGAAGAAATGAAAGCTTGTGGTCAGTGATGGAGCCAGGTTGAAAAGACTACAGAGAAGCGAGTGGAATGGATGCGTGCTACTGAAGCCCTATGTTCCACTGGTAACCCAAGGGAAATCTAATAAATAATAATATGTTATTGTGTTTATTTGGTTCTACTGGATCTTTTTGCTTACAAAGTTCCACACTGAGTGAGTTTGTCGGTTGAAATGCAATTCTAATCCTAATATTGTTTAGAATCCTGTATAGAATTTCCAATAACCCCCCTCTATATGATGAAAACACTACAGAGGAGTTGAATTCTCTCTTAGATATGTTTTAATCACCACCAATATTGCCGTTCCTTCTCCTATGAGCTTTTGTAAGGTTTTTAATAAATCCCAGAGGGTGAGTTATTCAGAAGTAGAGTCACTTTGATGTGTTTTAGTGCCTTATTTCGATTTTCTGATAGGTACAAGACGAGATAATATGCAATCGAAGTATCTATCCGAATATGTTGCTTTCCGATAGACACTGATATCTAAGTTTATAAAGAGTTATAGGAGAAGGAGCGATTCCATAGAAACATAGAATGGTGAAGAAAAACTCGAACATTTCTCTGCATGCACTGACCCATAATAACACTATATAGTGGGTGGAATAAGGTAATTATTCTAAAATCCAGTAAATCTAGATGGAGGTAGCGACTGACCACAGAATCTTTGTTCATTGAATCAACACCTAACACATGTAACAGGAATGATTCATGATATATTGTAGAAAATATTGGGAAAATAAAACTACGATTAAAATGAGAGGATGAAGAACTGTTGGACTTACGAAAGGTCAATTTCTCAACTGATAAGTCTGTCGTTTCATTCATTTGCCTATTCCTCCACTCAGACTTGCTCCGTCCATGTTTTGTACACTTTGGCACCTGTCAATAGTATTATTATGCAACCTTGATAAAACTGATGATCTGTGTGAGACTGAAACCCAAGTCACTCAGTTCTTTAGTCAGCGACGTTACCAGTGGACTATTCGGGCTAGTGCCTGTTAATGTATCTGACTGCAGCATTGGATGATTTGGGTCCGAGTATCAAACGGTACATTAAATCTATGAAGGCTTCAGATACGCCATGGTGACGAGTGCTAACAAGCCCGAAACGTAGGTCAGACAAGGTTCTCTTCAGATTGCCTCCAACCAACCAGCATCTATCGAAGTGCACCACGATGATATGTCTCCTAGGTTGATCGCGGGTATTGTAGAAAGGGATCAATAGTTTAAACTGAAGACTAGACAGTATGAAGTTGGTTACCCTACTGTGACCAATCAATTTAGTTGTCTACTTGTACTGAGTGATGATCGAAGGTGAAATGGGAATTCGGATTGCTGCCAGATTCGAACCAGCGACCACCGGTTACCGGCCCGATGTCCCACTAACTGAGCTATAAGGTCCGACTACTGACTAGATTTTTATTGCGCTTCATTCACCGAGGGTTTTACCCGACTACTATATGAATTCGTGACTGGTTACTACCGGCTGTCGTCCAAATGTTTTTTCCATCTTCAATCATCACCCAGTGTAAAATACTAGTCTGCCAAACTACAACTATCTCCGATGGTTAAAGTGAAAATTTCAGGTTGTTATTCATCGTGGACTGACATCACTTGGGGGAACAAAGGAAACCTGGGAGCACTGGACAGCTGTTTTGTCCGAGTATGGGACTCCTCGGCAGGGCGCACCCACTACCCCTTCAGGGACCGAACCCGCGACCCCCAGGTTCCGTGGCCAGCACGTTACCATGAACCACTGGGTCAGAGTCCAATGGTCCATATTTCCAACTACTGTTAGCTCACGATATAGCGCAACCGACACCCGATGTCATCGCTGAGTAACTGTCCTCACGAACATCGGGCTTTGCCCCTACCGGTCACGACTTCTCATTGGAAGTTCGGGAATACTTCTCGAAGCTAGTCACCAATGACCACTAGTTCAATTGAACTTTGAGGGAGTTGTGGGGATTTGGAATTATTCCAAGTTGTTATTCATCGTAGACTGACATCAGTTGGAGGAACATTGGAAACCTGTTTCGTCCCTGAATGGGACTCTTCAGAAGTGCGCACCTACGACCCCGCCAAGGATTGAACCTTGAAGCTAACAGAAGTTGGAAATATGGATCATTGGGTCCCGACGCAGTGACTCAATGGTAGCGTGCTGGCCACGGAACCTAAAGGCCGCGGGTTCGATCCCTGGAGGGTGGGGTCGTGGGTGCGCACTTCTGAAGAGTCCCGTGCTACGACAGAACAGCTATCCAGTGCTCCCAGGTTTCCTTTGTCCCTCCAACTGATGTCAGTCTACGATGAATAACAATATGAAATATTTCCAAATCCCCACAACTCTCTCAAAATTCAAAATGATAATTGTCTATTCTTTAATATATCTTGAGGATGTTTTTTATGATTATTTTGTTTATTAAAAAGTTGGTTTTATTCTTCTTCTTCTTCATCTTCTTCGTCAGGTGATCAATACATAATGACATTGATTCGTAATGATGGAATTCAACTTGCACCATTTCATTTTTATGCTCAAAGTCATATTGTTACACTATTAAATTGTTTAGAACAAGGCTTTAAAAAATCTGGTGGTTATTTGGATCCATCTCCTAATATATCAGATACTTCATCAGCTTGTAAGTATTTTATTAAATTTTTTTTCCTTTATAAATTTAAATTGAACAAGAACATTAGCTTTATCAGGTAGAATAGCACAGATCTATTCTTTGTTTTGTGGTTTCTCATCAGCTGCTTACAACCTAAAACAATTTTACTATGAATTTATACAAGATGGTTATTTGCATGGTCGAATCAGATTGACAGAAAACTGTCTGTCTGGAGGTTTGTGGAGATTTATTAATTGATTTCAGGTCTGAATTCATCATCGACTGACATCAGTTCGAGGAACATTGGAAATCTAGGAGCACTAAACAACTGTTTCTTCCTAGTAGTTTCGAGTGATGATTCTCAAAGTTCCAAAGAGAAAGTGTGGCCGATAGAGTCAGCCAAGTAGAACATGAGGACAGTTACCCAACGACGACATTGAATGGAAGTCGCACTATATCGTGAACTGATAGAAGTAGGAAATGTGGACCATTAGATTCCTACCCAATGGCTGAATGGTTACGGTTGGCCAAGGAACCTGATTGTCATGGGTTCGACCTCTAATGGAGTCGCAAGGTTGCAGGTGCGCATCACTGAGGAGTTTCGTATTGGGATGAAACAGCTGTCCAGGTATATCAGGTTTCCAATGTTCCTCCAACTGATGAATACCAACTTGAGAAAAAGAAGACATTCGACTTGTATGGATCGACAATGATAAGTAAAAGACATAATAATTGTCAATAAAACAAAAGTCTTCATCATGATAGACACAGACTGATAATCCGTTTCTTTCTGAACACATAAATCTGGTTTCAATCGTTTAATGGCTAACGCTTCAGTGGAACACAGCAAATTCGAATTCATTTGTTAATTAATTATTTTGAACGATTTCTGAATGTTCACTTTATGTCCACTATAAATAAGGTGATGAGCAATAGCTCGTTGTTGAAGACTTTCCAGTCACAAATTTCCTGGAATATACTCAGACATGCGATCACAAACCCTTCTTTCTGTTCATCCAAACTATATGCTCAGTGATGTTTCTGAAGTGAAAACATAAGTGAAACAAGGCTGCCTACTATCACCCATGATATTCCTGATTGTGGTTGACTGGATCATGCAATAAACAGAGGGGAGCGAGAAGAGGGGGATACGCTGCACTGCAGAAAAGAACCTAGAAGACTTGGATTTTGCCAATGATTTGTATCTGATGTCACACTAACTTGAAGATCTACAGGCGAAAACTAACAAGTTGGCAGAAGAGGCGAGGCGGGGCAGCGAAGACGGGACTTCAGGTGAATATAGAGAAGACAGAGGTAGAGTTGATCATAATACCCAACCAACAACAAACTCCGATCGCCATGAACGGGAGAAACTTAAAGAGAGTAGCCTCCTTCACCTATCTAGGCAGCACTGTTTCAACTACAGGCGGCACAGGCACAAATGAGGATGTCAAAGCCAGCCAGGATAGGAAAGACAACAAGACAGGCGTTAATTAGCCTGAAACCAGTGTGAAGATCCTCTGCACTCAGCATGCGGAACAAGATCCGGATTTTCAACACTAATCCAGTCAAGTCAGTGCTTTTGTATGGCTCAGAGACTTGGCGGGTTACGAAAGGGATTTCCAATAAACTACAGAAATTTATCAACAACTGCCACCTACTCTGGCTCGTTACTGACGATCAGATGGCCAGAATAATGGGAATAAGCAACAAAGAACTGTGGCTGGCTGGAACGAACCAACCAAGAAGCTATCGCTGAAAAAATATGCAATGGAAGGAAGTGGAGATGGTTTGGACATACACTGAGAAGGCCGACTGGGGACATGTCGAGTCAGGCCCTCGAGTGAGACCTCGATGGGAAGCGACGAGTTGGGCGTTTTAGGTGAGGATGACATGGAGGAGATCATGTGAGAAAGAAATGAAAGCTTGTGGACTGTCGTGAAGCCAGGTTCAAAAGATTTCAGAGAACAGAGCGCATTGGAGACGTGCTACTGAGGCCCCATGTTCCATTAGGAACCCAAGGGACAAATATTATAAATATGCTTTGGTATGTATACATGAATTGGTACATGCAGTTGGAGGTAAAATGAAAAGTGGAATGGTCAACTTTTGGTCGTCTCAGTAAGCAATTTTTAAGTATTCATCTAACAATATGAAAATACACGCATACCACATTGTATGGAAACAGAAGTGTTCCAAACACTACTTACTCTTCTTCATGTACTGACATCAAAGTGAATGAATGTCGAAGAATAATATTCAGCTTCACCTCATTGGTAGATATCATGCTTAGCTTGGCATCATGAACAATTCTATCTGTATTTAACACAGCTATTCTTCAACGATTGCAGTGTATTACCCCTCTCTCTCTCCGAACCAGTTTGGTTAGCATACCTTAAGCTATTTGTATCTGCCTTCTTGTGTAACCAGTAAATATCACCCTTTTATTGTTCATCTAAATCCACCAATCAAACTATGTGCGTTCGTGTGTGCGTGCGTATGTATGTGCTGTAGTCAATTAGGTGTGGATATCAGGAAGTTCTAATGAGAAGCCGTGACCTGTGGGGTCAATCAGTCGGAAGTGAAGTGGATGCTAACTGAAGACCTTGAGTGACAGTCACGCTAAATTAAAAAAATCCCCATTCATCTCAAAAATAAATTAGGTGAGTGTTTAAATGTTTGGGAAAAAGATGGAAGGTTTTTGCCATGAATCCATATTCTACTCGCTCAAACTAATCCACTTGTTATAGGAGTAAAACTTGGGCACTATAGTAGAAAGTGATTCCACGCGATGATTGTGAGGTCAAACACAATGTATAGGTCAAAGTAATCGATCAGGGTTAAGTAGGCTATTTAAGCACAAAAATCGGACTAGATCAAAATCGATACACTCTGAAAGATAAGGGATTTCAAAGAAACCTTGGTCATAGCTATGTGTGTAATTCCACACAAGTACACAATAGAATGAGACAGGGTGAAGGGAAAGATTGATCACGGAATCGTTGCCTATCGAATCTTTACCTTTATTACATGCAGAAACAGGAATGACTCAGCACGTGTTCCGTGTATATGGAAAGTCCTACTATCTTTATCACAAAGCCGGGGGGGGGGGGTGAGAAAGGAAACTAGGATTATATCAAGCTTATCTCAAAGTTGTGTAGTTATTTTGACATACCTATGGACAATGAATTGTGTCCAAAATGTAGTTCAGTAAACAATACTGTTACACTGTGTATGATACGTCTAATGAGTGATGCTTTTATTGACATCAGAACATGTAACGTATACCTTCCCTGATGACGTTTTTATTATATATCAGTGCCCAAACTTCTGCTTGACTAAGGCTGCATCCAGTAAATGGATTCCTTTTAGACTGATCAACAAATTGTATTTCACTAAAGTTTGTTCATTTATATCAAATGGTTTGTATTGAATAATTAGTCACAATAAGCTTTACATGAGAGCTGTAGTTTGCATATTTGTTCTTCAAACCTGCTATCCAGCTAAAATTGATTGAATTTACCCAGTTAGTACTACCAAAATTGTCAATTGACCCACGTTTTTAATAGTTGACTGTGTGTATTTTTTCTCGTCAAAATTGATGTCCAACTTCATGTTGCCTAGTTCTGAGATCTGTTCGAATTCTAATGATCATTCTACAATGTGGTCACCAGCCTAGTTGACTCAGCATTACGATGCACTTTGACAGATGTTACTTAGATGAAGGGAATTGGCGGGAAGCTCTGAATCCAGGTTTCGCGCTTGTTAGCACTCTTCAACAAGGTGTATCTGGAACCTCTGGGGAAATGATGTCCCATCTGAGGTTCGAACCCACTTCATCCGGTGCTGTTGTCAAAAAAGTTACCACTGAGTTAATCGGCCATGACTGACCTTCTGTATGACTGGTTTAGACACATTGATCAGTCACTGGGGTGTAACAAACTTCGAATTTCAGGCAGGGCATTAGTTCCGTAGAGGTTGCAGATACGCCGTGCTGACGAGTGCCAATAAGCGTGAAACCTAGTTCCAGAGCTTCCTACTGATTGCTTAAATCCAACTAAGACCATTCATGTATTTTACTGAGTAGTAATCAGCGGAATGTATTCCAATTCGCTTTTCGTCAATGATTTCTATCTATGCTGTCAGACGAACAACGATTTTGTGGTTCCTCTTTCGATGTTATCGCAGACGAGATTAAACAGCAGTAGAGTTTTATGACAACAGTACAGATGTTCCACTCATAGAATTTTATCGATGTATCACTTTCTGTATTTACTGATTTCGAGCTTAAATAACCACAAATTAAATCAATTCGGAGGTTTGTAGGGATTTAATAATTTCTCACTTTGATATTCATTACTAACTGACATCAATTGAAAAACCCTCGGAAACCTAGAAGTACTGGACAGGTGTTTCGTCTCATATTTGAACTCGCTATCAGTGCACATCCGTCAACCCATCAGGATTCGAACTCAGAACCTTCGGGCCTCATGACGAGTGCGTTAACATCAAGTCATGGGGTCAGAATTCAGTAGTCTACACTTTCCAACTTCTGTCAGTTTGCGATATATCGTGACTTTCATCCATTATTGTCGTTGAGTAACTGTTATTGGTTTGCTGCACAGGTCACGGCTTCTCACCAGAACTTTGGGAGAACCGTAGGATAAACCAATGAGAAGTGAAGTGAATGTCAACTGAAGACCTTGGTGGATGGCCATGCTATATCGTGAACTGACAGAAGTGGAAAACTGTGGACCATTGGCTTCTAACCCAGTGACTCCATTGGAGACGCACTCGTCAATCTATTGTGACATCATGGATGTACACTGCTGAAGACTACTTATGCTGAGAAGTAACAGATGTCCACTGCCACTCATGTTTTCAGTGCTTCTTCAAAGAAGTCAGTCCGTGATAAATTATCAAGTTGAAAACAAATTACGACGTTTGTTTATTGATTTCATTCATTATTCAATCATAATTCCTTTGATTTCACAGGTTTACATTTTCACTCTTTCTATCAGGTATTCCGTCTAGTTTCAATAAATCATATCGTCCATCAATGCCCTTCATATTTGCAAATCGTAATTCCCTACTGCCTTCCAGTACAAATAATAAGTTGGATTCTACAGTATCACATGCTTCATCACCATTGTTGCAGACCAGTTTATCTCCTCTTCTCAAATCTTCTAAATTAGAACAGTCTATACCAATAACTTCAAGTAATCATATAACAATAGTCAGTGGTGGAGGAGCAGGAGGCATTAAACAACGTTTTTACATGAATTTTCTGAAAGCATTTAGTCATCCTGATGAAATGAATAATGAAGGCATACAGAAGACTAATATATCACAGTCTATTGACTTGTCAGCTGAAAGATATCCAGTTCAACATGTCTATCATATTGTATCGAAATGTAATGAGATTCGTACAGTGGTATGTTTAGATTTATTCAAATTCATACTATAATTTCTAAAATTTCACGTGATAATATATTATTATTATTTATTAGATTTTCCTTGGGTTACCAGTGGAACATAGGGCTTCAGTAGCACGCATCCATTCCACTCGCTTCTCTGTAGTCTTTTCAACCTGGCTCCATCACTGACCACAAGCTTTCATTTCTTCCTCGCATGATCTCCTCCATGTCACCCTCAGTTGGGACACCCAACTCGTCGTTTCCCCTTTGCATTCCATTTGTTAGATGACCTGGCACGTGATGTCCCCAATCGGCCTTCTCAGTCCATGCCCAATCCATCTCCACTTCATTCATCTGCATATTTGTTGCGTGATAGGTTGTAGGTTGGTTGGTTGGTTACCAGCAAGCCAGACAGAGTTCATTGTTGCTTATTCTCACTATTCTTGCCATCTGATCTGATCTGATCTGATCTCATCTGATCTTCAGCATCGAGCCAGTGTAGGTGGCAGATGTTGATGTGGTTTGTTGGAAATGCTTTTCGTGAGACGCCGAGTTTCTGAACCATCCACCACACAGAAGCACTGACTTGATTGACATTGGTGTTGAAAATCCTCACACTGTTCACGATTTGTGCTGAGTGGAGTGGAGTGCAGTAGATCTCCACACTGATTTCAGATTGATGAAATCCAGTCTTGCTGTCTTTCCGATCCTGGCTGCTTTGACATCCTCGTCTGTGCCTGTGCTGCCGCCTGTAGTTGAAACGATGCTGCTCTGCCTAGGTAGGTGTAGGTGTAGGTGTGTGTGTGGGTGAAAGAGACTTCTTCGTTTAGGTTTCTCCCGTTGATGGTGATTGGTGCCTCTTGTTGTTGATGCTGTTGTTCATTGGGTATCTTCATCACCTCCACCTCTATCTTCTCTACATTCACTTGAAGGAAGCCCGTCTTCGTTGCCTCACCTCTTCTGTCAACTTGTTAGATTTTGCCTACAGGTACTCGAGTTTGTGCGATAAACATATTGGATATAAATGATGATGGGTGGTGAAATGCAAATCTTCTCCTGGGATCTTCTCCACGGTCCAGTGTATCCCTCTCTTCTCACTCTTCACGATTTGTTGCATTACCACAATCAGGAATATCATGGCTGATATTAGGCAGCCTTGTCTTACTCCTGTCTCCTGTCTTCACTTCAATGGCGTCGCTGAGCTTTTCATTGTGGATCACTTGTCATGTGACGTTCTCATATAGCTGTTGAATGAGGTTGATAAAGATTTGTGGCAGTCCGTAGTGTTGAAGCAACTGACAAATTACTTTTGGTCAATGCTGTCGAAGGCGTTTTCAAAGTCAATGAAGTTGACGTAGAGTTGAGTTGAATTGACTGACATTCTATACTGTGTTCTATGATGATGCGTAGTGTAGCGTTGCAATTTGATCCGCACATGATTTGTACTTCCTGAAGCCAGCCAGCCAGCCAGTTCCGGCCGTAGTTTTGAATCCAGAGCATCTTTTAGTCTCTTCAGGATGATTCAATTAATAATATATACTGTTTATTTATTTTGTAAGTAGCTCAAAGCGATCCATAGCGAAAATGCATGTTTCCCTAGTGTCTAAGAGTGTCGACTATGTTTTTAAGATGAACAGCTTGAAATGGATAATCGTGTTCATAGTCTTATGTTGATTTGTATTTGTATTACATAATCACTGAAATAAGTTTTACGAACTAACTGACTAGACTAGATTGTGTAAACTATTTATTTACTATTCATTATGTGAATAGATTTTAATCCGTCATAAGTATTATAGTAATGTGCGGTAAGATTGCCTAGACCCTGATTAGAAACCCTAAATTGCCGAAACCTTAAAGTTTCTCGAAAAAGGACATGAACCAACGCGTCAATATCAGAATATCAGTTTGATTATCTGAGATAGTCGTGGTTTGGCAAACTTGTACCGATACTGGGTGATGATTGAAAGTGAGGTGAAAATATGAACCGCGACGCGAAGTGAACCAGGAACCTGCAATTTTCCGGTACGATGCTCTGCCAAGTGAGCTACGAGACTCGATTATTGTTCCGATTTTTATTTCACTTCAATCAACAAGGGTAATCAATATGATTCTCTCCCTCTCTGTTTCAAATTGATTTCGATTGGGATGGTGAGTAGTAGTGACTGGACAGCCAATGAGAGTACAATCAAGCGATAGTAATGCATCACGAATTCACATGGCAACTGGGTGAATCCCTTGGTAATTGGTTGAAGTCGAGTCTGATGGCTCAGTTGGTAGAGCATCGGGTCGTTAACGCCGAAGGTGACTAGTTCGAATCCTGCCATGGTGCAAATTTTCATTTCACCTTCAGTCACCACCCACTATCAATATCAAATTGGTTGAGGAGGTAAAATCAGTGGGATATACCCTTCTTGAATGACTTAGGAATGGTCGAGGCCATTATAAGTACGTCTATAAATTGAAGTACTTTGTACATAATATGAAGTATCTTCATGTTTCTTGCATAACTTCCATTCCAATATTATTTTCCTGGTCACAATCTGTTAAGAATTATTGATTGACAAACTATATTGAAGCAAGTGGTCCCCTTGATAAATTTAAACAGCGTAATGAGAAGACGAAGATTATCTGAAACATATCGTGATGTATTAGCGCCATACATTTCGAACAATCTGATCACACATGAACTTGTCGAATCTACCTTGGTAGTATTGATTTTAATTTTCATACCAAGAGTAACATTTTTTCCTTTTTCGCTCCCTTTCTATTTCTCTATGTTTCGCATTAACTTCATTGACCCTTTTTGTAAATTTTCAAATAAATACTTCGACAAGTTCATGTGTGTATGTTCAGATTGTTCGAAATGTATAACGCTAATACATCACGACATATTTCAGATAATCTTCGTCTTCTCATTACGCTAAGTTGACATTTTTGTCACTGTTAAATAAGCATCCTGCTTAATGATTTAAATATGATTGTCTTCACTGAAGTCTTTCTTCCGTGTTATATAACTCAGTGAGACAATTTACATCTTCGATTCATCTTTATGCGCTGATATATTTCTCCATTACCTTCTCCAGGTCTCACCAAGAAGTAAAACGTCTCCTATAGGATTTGGATTTAATAAAGTTTCTGCATTGTCGAATAAAGTGTCTTTGGAAGGTATTTCAGAAGAAAATATGCCTAATTTAGATGATATAACAGTACAGTTAGCTGAGGATAACTCTTCAAATCAACATATATGCACAAAGTTAAGAATTAAAATTTTATCACATCTATTTCATAAATGTAAGTTGTATGCTGTCCATTGTTTTTTTTTTTTTTTTACTAGGCTTGAGATAGGTTGATGTTTTTCAGTTTTTCATTCATCTTGGTGAAATATAGCCTCTTTGGTGCTTGTCAGCTGGATTTATCCGCAGTAACCATCAATTTAAACACTAGAGTGTAATCCATTAGGCCTATAGGGCACGACATTCACTCTGTGTCACCATGTGAGTAATGCAGAAGTTAGGTGTAGAGTTTTGGGGAGAAGAGGTAAGTCAGTTGACGAGGTTGTGAACCTTCATCGACTGAGATGGTTGAGACACGTACTACGTATGCCTAGTCACCGATTGCCTCGTCACACAATGTTGGCTGATGTGGGTCCAGGCTGGAAAAAGGCTCGAGGTGGCCAGACTAAAACATGGCACCAATGTATGAAGTCTGTGACTGTTGGTTTAAGCCATGTAGGGCAATGCAGACTGAGTGGTTGGGGTCTGTGGGACAAGAGGAACCAGTGGTTGGAGACCCTAGGTGATATGGCTCAGAACCGAAGTCAGTGGCGCAGATGTATACACACATTATCCTCATTCTAACAACGCTATACCGAATCTCACCATTTTGTCACTCCTCTTACTTTTCTTCTCGTACTTTATATTTCTTTTGACTGCATTCTCTTATCTTCATCCTTCACCTCACTACCTTTTTACTTGATGTGCTGATATGAGGTGTGGCAACTCGGACCGTGAGGCAGTAATGCCTGGTCCTATGTTGATAATGATGATGACATTCACTCTGTTGTGCAACAGGTATTAATCTATTGTTATTTGATACTTGTGTTTCCTAAGCATTGTCAAGTTTCATGGGTATACTTGCCTCTCACAGCATCATTTTAGACAGACAACAGCTTCATTTGTTGTCTTGAAGGTAAATGACAATCTAGGTTGCATAAAACTACGGATTAAGTTTTTCAGCGTACACATTAAGATAAACGCGTTGAGAATATAATTTCTACTGCCAAATATTAAATGTTCGAAGCACTTTTCTGAAAGCTTTAAACTTCTTTAAAACATTTGTTTTGCTAATGAGATTGCCTGAGATAATTTGCTTAGTTGTTGGCTAGCAGTGGAATTCAAGATGCGCGTTTTGTCCCATTTGGTACTCATCAACTGGATTCACTTGGCCCCTTATGAATGATTATGTTCCTACTGAGACTTGAAATACTCACTTATTACTTCAAACGCTAAAGCTTTATCCACTATTCTGTGATGTAAAACTGCAAGTATAAGCAAATACTATTTGAAATGTTTGTAGTTTGACAAACTGACCTTGTGGAAGGTGAAATATTAACCAAGCCTCTATTTAGAATCCCATGGCGATATAGATTATCATTTCATTCTCTATTGACGTGCAGTATCAGTATAATTTTCATATTGAAATTTATCAAGAATCGTATAGAATATGTTGTGACCTTATCCACGTTGATGAAATTTTATTGACTACTGAAATACACTACTGGACAATTTGAGTTGTTAGAAAGCATTCATACCAGATAGGTGTTTCGTTTACCAGTGGTGTACCTGGTCAAATTTAGCTCATGAAGTTGAATTATTAAGATCACCTGAATTTAGCTGACTACCTAAATGATTTCCATGAACCGACTGGTAAACCTTAAATGGGATAATCGTCAGTTTACAAATTGTAGGATCCATGTGGACACATTTCTTTCAGTTGACTAGTTTTTCGACTCCCTAACTGTGATATCAATAGAGTTTACATTGGGCAGTTGAAAAACTACTCAACTGTAAGAAATCTCAATGTGGAAAATGCAATTTGCTGGTCATTTGCAAGTTGATCGAGCTAAATTTATCTGGGTAAACTGCTGATGAGCTCGCCCCCGAACGAGTGAAATGGCTCTTCAATGTTTAGATTACTCTAATCTGGACACCTGGCCTGACTAAGTGGCTTCTAACTACTCAATTTGTTCAGTAGTAGTATCTTTCTCTAGTTCATGACACTTTTGTATCAGAGATCACATACTGTTGTAACGACCAGTTGTTGACAAGTTTCCTTCTAGCCTGTAGATAGGTACGTTATTGCGGGGGGTGCACAGAGCAGTATGAGTTTGGTGGTGGCCATAAGAATCTGGAAAAGAAAAAAAGGAAGAGAAGAAAGGTGGCCGACGACTCAGCAAATAAGGAGGATGTATTTACATTTAACAAACAGTAGAGCTGGGCAACGAAGAGGTGAGGCGAAACTATAAGGTGAATGAGTAAGATTTTGAATGTACTACACTATGATCTTGGCTGAATAGAAGATGGTTTCCGATGGGAACTATCTTGACAACCATTGAAGTGTATACAAAGATTGTTTAAATTCTTTCCATATAGGGTATAATTACTTCAACAAAATTCAAATAGTACGGAAAAAGTTATCCGATCTTGTTTCAAGTAACCTACTGACTGTAGACAGTCCAACTAATGCTGAAGAAGGCGTAACTATCAATCTCTGGAATCAGTTAATAACAAATTCTATTCCAGTAAGTGAGTTTCTTTTCTTTGCTTGAAAAAACCGTTTTATTGGATTTCTTTCTGTTGTCAATTTAATGTTAACTTTAGGGAGATGAAAGTGTTTAGCAGCCTTAGCTAGTGAGAAGGAGTGAAATTTTTTTTCTTGGAAGAATTATGAACTTATTGGATCTCTAACTGACTGACTGACTATTTATCCATACTTTGTACGGAAAAATTGTTCTCAAATTGATCCTGAATATCTGGAACTCTGGAAATCAGATTTTATGTCGGTTGATTCTTACTAGGGAGTCAAAATGTTAACCGCCTATCACCTTTTGATAACCGATTAGTGCCATTCAGTGAAATGTGTATGTTTAGTCAAGATAGTCATGCCCACTCCGAAATTGTTCAAATTGAAGAGTTTTCGAATGTTCAAAATACCGAAATTTTACTTATAGGTTAAATACGGCTTTATACTACATATCCAATCATCCAATACGGTACAGTAATGGTGAGTTATACAGTTTTCTAGTCACACTACAAAACTTACCGCAGCTGAGAATAGACAATATAATAATATTTTTCAAATGTCTCTCTCATACAAGATGCTAGTGACGGCAATAGCCAATTTCCTGGCTACTATTGACACACTCATAGCATAAATGTAAAGCAAGAAAAACTAGAAATCAATAGCGAAGGATGCCCATTAACTCATGACCCGTTAGCTGAATGTACCTGCCTCCTAAATAGGATGAAATGCGCATCCTGGATTCCACTGCTAGTCACTACTCGTCATTACTACACATAATTAAAACATAGGCAATATCGAGGCATCCGCACAGGAGCCCATATGCCAACAGAGACCGATCAATTCTATCCAGTCAACGACAGTATAACATAAGCAACAATATTATCACAAGTAAGCCAACTCCCTGCAAATAACTGAGAACGTAACCCTCATCATAATTCAACAATGGTTTATGAAGTGCCAACCGACGTAAAAAATGATCTTGGATACAGCATCTCCAACCTGATTAGCCGCCTTTAAGGTTTCCCGTTAGTAAATATCTGTTTTACCTAATCGCACAAAACAGATTCATGAATTGTAAATAAAATACTGTTTAATGTTGTTCTTGTATTATCCCGTCGTTGACTAGACCGGTCTCTGTCGGCATATAGACTCCTGCTTGTATGCCAATCAACGAAGTGATGCAAGCAACAACATTAAAACTATATCCGCTATCGTGAATGGATGGTTTGGTGGGTAATACTCTGAAGTTTGAAGTGATCAGTCCTGATTTCGGAACCTAGTAGGAAAAAATCATTCACTGGGAGGCAGGAACATCCAGCTTGCGAGTCCGAAATGGGACGAAACATGCGTCGTGCATTCCGCTGCTAGCCACTGTCCATCACCAATAAAATACTTTCCTAAATAATTACATGAACCATCGTATACTCGATTCTAATTGGGTACTGCATAGTTGAACGTGATTGGTCGTTACTAAAGGTTAGTTCTACCACTGAATAATAGGGTAGACTATTAAAGCAGTCTTGAAGACTGAAATAAATAGTGGAAAGGAAGTTTCATAATAATCTATCAAATAACGAGAAAAGCAGAGTTTAACAAGATTAAAATTGCCAGTGGATGTAAAATGTGATGGTTGAGTGAGAGAAGATGAAGGAATTAATCAAGAGGTACTGATAAACGTTATAGGTGTACTCATCATCAGAGAATTGAAAAAAAAGATATGAAAAACTGAGGAAGGATTAATAATATGGCAAGATAAAAGACTGAACATATTTTTTGCTGTATGCAAAGTTCAGGCTTGAATTGGTGAATTACCAGTGCTACTGTCGTGCACAACTTTCGAAGGTGTGCACTCCTTTTGAGCTGTTTTCTTTGTCGGTGTAGATAACACTAAAGAAGGACTCTTAAGCAGCTATGTCTGTAGATGACTAAATGTTCTAGAAATAAGAATTTGTTTTTGAATCCATCTCCACGTTTCTAGGTTTGGTCGCCAGGTGGTGGTATCTCTATTCTTCAGACAATAGTTGTCTGGATCATTGCCTACTACATGAATGTGCACAAGGCTGCTGAGTAGGTTTCGGGCATTTTTATGTATAAGCATCCAGGTTGAATTACAGTGAACCATCACATGTTATGAGAAGAGATGCATAACTATTCATTATTTACTGCGATACCTGCCGTACTTCATGGTCATACTGTTAACACATCTAAACAACGGAATCTGATACCGATGGATAACATTTTCTGCACGATCCATTATGCGAGTCAATGTATCTTATTCATCACTATTTGCGGCAAATTAGAGTGGAAATACTAAGCAGTACAAGTAGTCACTGTTTCAAAGAGTCAAGTTGTTTTCGATAGTGTGTTTCAAGGTCCTATACTTGATCAGAGATGATATTTAATCGAAAATGGCTAATTTTTCCCTAAGTGGTAAATAATTGAGTAGCAGTTTACTTAGAAAGATAATAATGCTTTATTTGATATGAATAATGAAATTTCTCTTCCTTTGAATTGACCAAGTAGAATAAAACTTAGGTTGTAACTATACTGAACGCAGTGATACACTAGAACTGAATACCAATACGGTACCCCTCTTCATCGCCTTATTCTTTACTGAGTCACATGAATATCAAAAGGCAAAGCCTGATCTGTGACTGCATGGACACTTTATCTTATAAACAATTCACACATAAAAATGTCTAGGCCAAAGACAGAATAATACAATCTTATTGGCTACTGAAGGTTACTTTAACACAATTCAAAATTATGGGGATAGAGAGTGTGGGACCAATCAAAATGTACTCTATGTGATCACTTCATAGTTAGACAGACAGATGGTGGATCAGCCAATCAATATTTTTATTTTATAACAGCGAACTGTCTATATACTAGAGGTATTTCCTTTTGTTGTTACCTCCTCTTTCGATCGCAGTACACGTTTCTACATGTCCATCGTATCTTCCTTATTAATTAGTTGGATAGGGTATCAACTAGGAATTTGTTGTAAGTTGGTAGCTGACAGTTGATATATCCGTGCATCATTAGCGGTCATAGCAGTTAGCGAATCACAATAACGGCCAATGACTTAAAATGTTGATTTCCACTTTTAGCCACTTTCTATCATCTTTGAACATATCAAATTGTTTTTCTTTAAAAATTAATTTATCATTTACTTCACAGAAAATTACATTCAGCGAATTTTGTCGACATATCTATTTTGGTAATTGTGATCCAACAATTAGAAATCAGGTAAGCCCCTTTTTTGTATACATTGTTAACTCACTCATCACCTGCGCTTTGTACCATTCCAGTAGTGCTGATAAAGAAAGCCAGATTACGCTGTATGCGCTTTGATCAACAGGATTATTGAGGATTGTGAATTTTGTCTCCACCTTGAGCTCCAAGTTGCTCAGTCTACTATATTCTGTTATATGTATGTATACCGGTGCCACCTCCATCACTATTACCAGCGTGTAACCTTCTTTTTCTCATCAGCACATAATAATTACTTTCACTAATTCTGAAACAAGTCGGTTTTCAATCATTCAAGTTGCAACTAGTTAGTAACCCTTTTATGTGGATATTTAAAGAAACTAGTTACTGAATGATATGACTAAAACCAGTCCAATGGACAACGCTTCAGCGTTTGAGACTTTTGGTCCTGGGTTCCAGCCTTAGTGGGGAAGATACCACTCACTGGAAGGCAGATTTGTCCGGCTGATGGGTCCCGAAAAGAACGAAACACACTGGTCGCTATTTGTAAATAATAATAGTCCCACTGATACTTAGAATTTCATTTTGCATTGATGCTTGATAAGTTCGAGCAGAACGTTACCAGGGCTAAGATGTGTTACAATAAACGGTGTTTGGTCTATCTCTGCCCAGTATTGATTACCAAAACCATATGGTCCTTTGAATTCCACCCTGCCTTGACTTTGCGCATGATTATCTTGCATAGTCTTGCCACCTCTTGTATGCGTGATTCACCTGCATGGTGGGTCACCTGTCTCTCTCGACACCACCTACAATGGGACACAAAGCCTTGTGCTTATGGTTCTTCCGTTTGACTATTGGAATCCCCTATATATGCATAACTGAAGAAGCACCGAGGTACTATAATTCATAAAAATCAAACAACTGATTTCACGCACAGAAAATGCATGATAAGTGATTCCACTAAACAGGCAATTATTTCAGAATTAACTAAGAATATACGTCACACAGAAGAGGAATTGATGGCGGGTCAACAAAAAGGTGTTGTGCTGAGCTGCGGCACCTTTTATGATGAATAATATAATGGGGTGGATAATGCTTATTTGAGATTCATGTTTCCCATCTTTCTGTCGATATAAGAAAGTAGATAATATTGAATTTGATTCATTTTGAAGGTTTATGGGAATCTGGTTTATTTCCAGGGATTTTTCATCACAAATCAACATTAGAGCATCATAAGAATTGATGTTTCTGGGTGCTTACGCCACTAAGGAGTCGCAAGCTGAGACTGAACAACTGTATAGTATCCACTACATTTAACTTGTTCTCTCGTTTATATTAACTGTGTTATGAATACTTTTCCATAGAAATTCTGTGGTTTATAAGGGTAGAACTATTGAATTTTATCGTCCTTGAGCAACTACCATGCGACCTTGAATTGACCAGTCACATTGAAGATGACTATGCAATCGTTCTAGAATCCTTAGAACTATTCAGAGAGTGCTATTAATTAGCTATGGGCTTGTGCAAAATTTTGATGATAATAGTTTCGATTGAATTGAAGGGAATTGTTTCCATATTGTCTCGCACTATTTTCTAGCTCTGAGATGCTTTCCATTCACATACATTTTCCTTTATTCACTGGAAGTTGATACTAGAGTACTATCAGGTTGCACATGCTGTAAAATTTATTCAAAATCTTTATTTTAATTGCATAAACCTTACCATTTAATTCCAAGTAATTTCACAGTATCCTTTAGGTTATAAAGTAGCAAAGAAACAGAGAGTAGGTTCTTTTCCCAGAGCTAACACTGATACAACAAAAGATCATTTAAAGGCTTATTTATTTCCATTTCACAGTTCGTCTATTCAGTTTCACATTACCAACATGAATGAATATGTTTATCGTACATAATTATACTTCGAGCAGCAGAAAGCAGTCGAAAAACTAAATAGCCTGCTAAAATCGTTTAAAATCAGTGTGTACTTCAACTTCATTTCATTTTTGTATTAAAGCTACAAAATGGGAGGTGTCCTCTTATTGGTGCCTTCAAGGTCATTTGTCAGCTGCTCATTGAAGGCAAAACTACTATAGGTTATGAATTTAAAAGATGGATCGATGAAAATTAGTCTGTATTCAAGCCATCTGATTTAAGGATAGGCTTATGTAAATAGACGTAAAAAGCAAAAAAATAAACACGGTAAAGTTGATTCAAGTGACTACTACCAATTATAATTCCATATACCGATTGCACATGCACATACTTGGCAAGAAGTGATTTTTCTGCCTTATATTATTTTTTGTTATTGGTTCAATAGGTCTGTCTTCTTCTATCTCTAGGTATGGCCGTACTTATTGGGTTTATATCCATGGGATTCAACAGATGACCAAGTGAGAGGAATCAATGAACAACAAAACCATATATACACAAATGCATTAATGACATGGAATCGTGTTGTAGACTGTTTACAAAAAGATGTAAAATATGCGAATTTCTTATCTATAATACCAACTAAATCTTCAACGGATACAAAAATATCTGAGAGTAGTGAAGAGGTAATTATAAGTAAAATCTTTGTTGTTTTTGTTTTCTTTAAATTGATATCGTCTGGTTGGCGTGTAACACTCTAATGACTATCCTGACAACTGCTAATCTAACCAGTTAGGCTTTTTTATTTATTCCAACTGGGATGGCAGTTTTTTGTTGTTGATTATTTTTCCAGTTGCTAGAGGGTAGCCTTTAGAGTTACCTTTTCTTTTTAAGATATGATCTATATTCTAGTTTGAGGTTTCAAGGGAATTTTATTTATTTCAAGGTAGTATCCATCACAGAATGACATCAGTTAGTGAAATTGGAAGTACTCGGGAGCTGTTTCGTGGACAATTGAGTTTTGACCTAGTGGCTGATTGCTTAACGCCTTCATTGTGACATCTGAGGACTCCAAGTTCCACCCTTGGTGGGCGCGTACTGCTGAGGAGTCCCAGTGTGGAACGAAATAGTTGTTCATTACTCCCAGATTCCCAATGGTTTTCCATCTGATGTTGGTCTGTGATGAATATAATTTATAGTTTCTGCGGTCCAGATGTAGTCGGAGTGTTGAAATACGGTTATCCACTACACCATTGGGCCACAGTACGTTGAATACCCGGGCAGTATCGAAACATCCTCATCAAAGCTCATCTGGCAGCACAGGACGAGGAATTCAACCCAGAGTAGCGAGTGTGTACAGTCGATTGGATGCTGAACAATAGGCATATACAGCAGGGCTGCTTTCCGATCGCTAATGGCCAACTAACATCCATCAGTGTACACAGTGATGGTTGATCTCCTAGATAAGTGACCAAATTAGAAAATGACTGGTTGAATATTTTCAGCTCATAGGTTCGAGTCCTGTCGCAACCCAGATTTTCAGTTCCATTTCAGTCAACACTCACTATCAGTAACACCAATCAGCCAAACTATAGCTATCTCAGATGGTCGCACTGATTATCATTGTTATTATTATTACTAGTAGTTGATTAAGTCATGTATCTCTTCATTCCGTTACTATACTAAGTCGAATTGCGCGACCTCTCGTTGACAGATGGCTTCCAATCTGAATGCGTCCATACTGCCTGAATATTCATCATGTAGCAGTAGTAGTAGTAATAATAGTAGTTTTCAGGCAGTATAGAAGTATCTACTCGTAGGGGCTCATCTGCCAACAGAGGTCGAAAAATTCGACGCAGTTTAGTAACGGGAAATTACAACTATCAAATAACAATTGACAGCCATTGCACAAGAGGTGGTTGTCGTGTCTCAGTAACCTATTGATGTTTGAAACGATTAGTCCTGGTTTCAAGCCTTACTGGGAGCACCATCACTGATTGAAGTGCAGGTACATCCAGCTGACTCAATGTTCTGGCTGGGACCCATTGCTAAACACCACGAAGTAATATTTATTCATATTGTTTTCTAGATTTCAACAAAAGAATCGAATGACTCGGAGATTGATGATACTTCGAAAGTGCAATCGATGAATGGCGGAGTTACTGGTGAATCTAAACCAGTTAGTAAGTACTTTTTTGTGTGGATTTATATATATTCTACACTTTCAATGTCCAAAAGGAATAAGCCTCTCTTCGTGTGTGTGTGTGTGTGTGTGTGTGTGTGTGTGTGTGTGTGTGTGTGTGTGTGTGTGTGTGTGTGTGTGTGTGTGTGTGTGTGTGTGTGTGTGTGTGTAACCTCGTAGTATGATGTTATGTCAACTGAAATAGAAAATAAACTACTAAAACTGAAAATATTTATCAACAGTGTCTCCTGATTGTAAGCGTGCACCTGCGTACTCTCTACTGGCACATATATAATAGACATGTCGGTCACTGATAAATACTACTTTAAAAATAAAATCCACATTAACCTCAAAATACGTTACTGTATAATGGTCATTAGTGATATTCTTCGAGTTCTCATCAGAAGCTATTATCTGTGGATCCAACCCGTTGGAAGTGAGGCGGATGCCAACTGAAGACCTTCATGGATAGTCATGCTATAGGAAACTGTGGATCATTAGGCTTCTGTTGCACTGGCTTTAAGGTTAATGCGTTCACCATGAAACCTGAGCAGTCCACTTCGATCTTTAACGGTGTAGATGCATGCCTGCTTGCTACTATGGAGTCTCATACTGGAAAGAAAAAGGTGTTCAGTAGATTTTCAATGGTTTTCTTCCAGCTGATGTCAGTCTGTGATGAATACTGCCTTGAAGATAACTAAATGTTCTTGAAATTTTTTTGTTTCATCATTTGTCCTTCAACTGTTTTCATCAATCCTGTAAATTAATGAATCCAACAGGCATCATTTGACACTTTCGAAACCTTTTTAGTCGATCATTTTTAATTTAGCAGGGATAATTCTACAGTTTTTATTGTATTTTCTAACCTAATTTAATCAATGCAAAGGGAAGACATGGTGGTCAAGTAAACGAAATATATATTATTGAAAATAAATATTGAGTAGTATGAAGTTGTAGACCTTCATTAAGTCTAGTGATAACGATGCCTAGTTACAGTTTAACACCGATGTGCAATGTTAGCCGAAGTAGACTTCTCAGTTTCTGTTTGAGTGACATTCGACATCGTTGGTTGCCGACTCTACGTGCTATGACTCACTATGGATCTTCATACTAATCATCATATCACACTTTATAATATGTACTGCCTCATCTTCCTCTCTTCTTATGACCTTTTGAATACATTTTGTTTGCTCCTCCTCTGTTTCAACTTTCTGCCTTCTATCTTGATGTATCGATGTGAAGCATGTCAGGATAGACAGGCTAAGTCAACGTAAAACCTTGCATGCAAATACATCGGTTCACCTTTCCACACTTCACAGTGGAATAAAAAGAAGAAGGGGATATGAAAAGACTGATATCAAAGTAGACAAAGGTGTATTGAAAGAGGGGAGCTTTAAAAATGAAGGTTAGTCAAAAGCTTTAGAAGACGTCAAAGAGTCGCTACATCTGGTCGATTATCACCAAGAGTTCTTAACCACTGATTCCTGTTGTCTCGGTTGTCTACATCCATGAACACAGTTCAGAAAAACAATCGGGGACTTTATCAATTGGTGTAAAGTCTTGGTTTGACCACCTTAAACCCTTTTCCAACCTAATCCTACCTCGGATCATATTACACGTCGGGGTAGGCGGTGTACTCGGTATCCTCAGCACATGTTCAAGCCATCATAGTCCCTGAGGGTTCAAAACCTCGTCTATAGACTGGCCTGTCTTGCATAGTTTCATTCGACTGACTTCAACATTGCCCACAAGGTGATTGTACTATATGCGAGCAATGCTAAGAAGAAACCTGTGGTCAAAAACCTGTAACCTCTTCATACCTTTTACTTTTAACGGCAAGGATAATAAACTGCAGCGCAGCGGGCTGATCCTTTAATAGCTTGTCAGATTTCTCAATGACACCAGAGTTGATAACATAGTTTGGTAAATACCGGACGAGTCTTTTGTTTCCAAGCTGAGATTTCTTCAGCAACCAGCCAGTGCTACCTAACTCATCTCTTTAAGTAAGTGAAGTGGTCGACACATTCCATCACTCGAACCACTATCCCCAAACTGGGATCAGGTGAAGACCATTCTCGAATCATCTTACATTTCATAGGTGTGAAACACATGCCAAATATATACAAATTTCTGAGCAAAGCTTCCAGAAGACCGTGCTTTTTGTCAGAGTCTTCACCTAACACAACAATGTCATCTACCTATTTTTCGTCAACCAGATGCCCTCCACGAAGTAGATCAATCTCTGTGAAGTTAGATGTACCTGAGGTCATATTGATTATTAGGAACGATGGCAACAAGCATTTCTGGGTTACATGAGTTTAGAGCATACAGAGCTTTGATTAGTGTTACATACTTGCTCGGTAGTCCTTTCATAGTCAGACACTGCTACAACATGCCACAATTGACAGAGTCAAATGATGGCTTCAGGTTAAGGAATATGACAAGTTTCAAGCAACAGTAGGTAAGCTTGTGCTAGTTCGAATTTGTACACCAAGAATTCGAATCTAAAGATTACTATAGTCCATTAAAAAACTGCATGTTTTTCAAATCCTGAGCGAATGTAAAGACCGCCCTAGGAACTGCTGAGATAACCAGTTGGGCTTCTATATGTTTTATGAAAAACTATCTTTCTAGCCGAAACACTCAAACCTGATTGGTTATTACAATAGTTAACAGGGTGGTTGTTAAAGTCATCACAAAACCTCAGATCTCATCTTACCGCACACTCATATAACCTTTTAGCTAATAGTTTCGACTTCAAGGTTAGATGCCAATCAGTTGTGACTGGTCTATTTATTCCTCGATAGATATAAGGGTAGTCAGGTTGGGATTGCTTGAACTGAAAAAAATTTCTCACAAAGTGTAATGGTTGTAGGCCTGATTCGATTTTTTAAAGGAAATGAGATATACTACTGTTGAACAATTTAATATCGGTAAGAAAGAAACACTTTTTTAAATGACTCCATTTTAGCCTGAAGTGATTGATCGGATCAATTGTTGATGTACGCTGAAAATTGATTTATGATCAGTTAGGTTCACTGAATTTTTATCAAAAGTGATTCTCATTCAACTTCACTGGTTCCTTTTAACTGTAAAAATAATTAAATTATAGCTGTTTAGGTCAATACGTCTTTATACTGTTATATAGGCGAAAATTGTACCCGGAAATAACAAGTAGTAAGTTTTATATCAACCAAAAAGTGGAAAACAACATAAATCTCATTGATTATGTGTTAGTTTAAACTTCACTTTATAAGCTATTTACTGACAGTATTGTATAAGTCGGTTCAAGAGCTTTCAGTTGATGTCTCATTCATTTAGGCATGACTTATGGTAGTTCGAGTGAAACCAATCCATTATACTGTGGATTATCTCACTGTTTAGGCTTTAATTTGGTTGTTTCATGATGGTATATTGATGTTGGTGTCTTACTTAGGACTCATCAGCTGAATGTACCCACATCCCAATGAGTGATGTCATTCTCACTGAGACTCGAACCCATTACTCATCGCTTCAAACGCCAATACGTTATCCACTAAGCTATTGGGGCACGATAGCCATCTTTATAAATTATGGTGCGATGTGGTGAGGAAATTCACTTGTACATATACAGATAAATCAGATCGCTTGTAGTGTATACGGAGAATCAGCATGAGGCTTTGTGTTCTGTTGTTGGCGGTGGCAGAAAAGGCCAGAATTCCTTGATTCGTCGCGTGGGTGAACTGAACATTTGAAGAGTGACTTTAAAAGGTCATCTTAACAACTGCTAAGGTAACCAATCAGGTTTTGGTATTTTGACTGAAAAGTTAGTTCCCTCAACAGTTGTGAGATTGACCTTTGAAGTCACTCCATGCAAGATATGGTAAGTATATTGTGAGACTAATCACCTACATAAGACAATTAAAAGTAGACAAAGCTTTGACAATAAGTTGTCACAACAAGACTTCGTTAGCTGAAAGTGAAAAGAAAATTTGAGGGACCACCATAAGAATCGAGCGAGGAAACTGTGAGTTACTATTTCAGCAGTCTAAAGACTCATCTTCGGGGCACAGCTACTAGTTACTGGTTTTAATTTTACTACAATCACCGAATGTCTTGTATCTCGGTCAGTAGGGCTAGTGGATGTGAATCTGGAGTCCGCTACTTCCCCTTAATCTTCACTTCTAATACCGTATCGCGAATACTAGTCTTCTAAACCATGCCTATTTCAAATAATTACGCCGACTGAACCGTGACATCCTTTATTTAGGAGTTTCACCAGGTCCAGTAGATATCCGACACATCATAAACCTATTTTTATTCATTTTTTTCTACAGATATCAGATATGAACACACTAACAAGCATATTGATTATGCATCAGTTAATTGAGTAGGATGTCATCTTAGTTTTTTTTAACAAAATGTACTTTCACCGCATCTTTTTCTAGATATCCATCCATCGGAAACGAATGAAACTCCTGTGTATCATATTCAAACTCCTGAATTAACAGAATCACATAGTCGGACAGTCTCCGTTGATTCAACATCAAATGTTGGTGAAACTAAAAATCCACCAAGTGAAAAACAGTGCGAATTTTCGGTTAGTTAAACAACAAAAAGTGATATTTTATTTTAACTATATTCTTATCAAAAGATTTCTGAATGTGATGCAGAATATTTATAGCTAAGGTGGATGATCTTTTTTGTCTGCCAACATCATCAACAACTTCAATACGATGAATTGAGCCATCAGGATTTCTCCCTGAGTGATTCAGTAGCTTGTCCTTATGAATGGGTTTGTGATTGGTAGTTTTCTTTGATTGGCCGTTTCTCTGCCTGACTGCTGACCTTGAAGTTGTATATCACTTTCCTTATTGGCTGATAGTTTGGGTCTAAATCTGTACATCTATTAATTACTGACTGACGTAAATATCAAACTTCTAGGGATTTTCTGATATTCTTTGTATTTCCTCCGTCCAGTATAGATACATTTTTAAAGTTGAGTTCACGTCCATAGTTGCCCACGTGCATTGAGTGACCAAATTTTAATGGCCAACTGTCGTTCATGCAGACGAAGGTGAAGAAGGCGACCACTATGTTCTGATCTTTACTGTCTTATTATAGCATTCGTGAGTTTACCATTGGATAATATACATTAAGTGGAAATTACTTTTGTCGACAGTAAGATTTTTAACTAGCCAAAATGATCTAAATACTGAATGACCAATCTTCAATATTTTGGTTTGATTTGACATCAATAGCCATCCACTTGAATATTTCAATTTTATGCAGACTGGCTTAATCAGATGCACACTCCATTCCTTCTTCATATTTTTCTGTCAGAATTCCTCTCGTGGTGTAGTTTTCACTTAGGTGGTTTCCCAACCGGAACCTTATTCAGCTAGGTTGAAAAGCTTACTGAGTTATATATGGAAATACCAACTTGAAGTATAATTCAATCTGGAGGTTTGTGGAGATTTATTAATTGGCTTCAGGTTGGAATTCATCATGGACTGACATCAGTTGGAGGAAGATGTTAAATTCCAACCTGAAAACAATTAATAAATCTCCACAAACCTCCAGATTGAATTAATCTAGCGCTCATTTGTGATCAGCTTAGAGAGGTGATTTCCGAAGTTCCAATGAGAAAGCCTGACCAGTGGAGTCAGCCAAGTCAAACATGAGGACAGTTACTCAATGACAGCATTAGATGGAACTCTCACGATATTGTGAACTGACAGAAGTAGGAAATATGGACTATTGGATTCAGACCCAGTGGCTGAATGGTAACTTGCTGGCCATGGAACTCGAAAGTCCTGGGCTCGATCCCTGGGGGAGGGTCGTGGATGCGCACTGCTGAGGAGTTCGATACTAGTGGGACGAAACAGTTGTACATTGATCCCAGGTTTCTTTTGTTCCTTCAACTGATATCAGTCAATGGTGAATTCTAACTTGAAGTATAAGATTTATAATCGGTTTTTCTCTTGAAAATGTTCGTACGCATTTGTGTTTAAAAAAAATTGTTATAAGCAGTCTCTCATCTTGTATGCCTGACTTTTGAATTCTTTTGTTATTGTTTTTTGTTGGTGTAAAACTACCATTTCAACTAAATCAGCCAGATACTTTGGAGGCATTCGCTGATAATTTATATCGAATTGATAAAGATGTTTCAAGATGTGACAGAAATCATGTCTTCTTTATGACACCGTTTAGTAAGTTCCCTATCTGTTTACTCTCTATACATCGTTTGGTCTATATATACGTAAATATACAAAGTTTTGGTTATCTTTACTCATGAGTTAACATGAGAGAGTAATAATTAGAAAAACAGACAAAAATTACAGAATATTCATAAGCTTTTTTATGACATTCTTTCCCAGACGTAAAAATATAGATCTGTGGCTCATTGGTTCTGATACTTGACTGTCGCCTATTCCAGAAGAGTGGGTCACCGGTTTGAACCCTGCCCATCTATTGAAGTTTAAGCAGTTAGGTAGTGTCATTAGTCCGCACACTGAAGGTGTGATTGGTTTTCGCTTCTTGATGTAAAAATGTCGATGTTCAATAACTGTAGGCTTCCTGTGAAAGCAGACTACAATAAGCTTCGGAATTCACCTAGTTTTTGTTGATTGGAGAATAGAGGAGATTATTAATTAGCCTTTTACTGCAGATATTTACTTATTAATCATGTAGAGAAAGATAAAATTGATGCCTAACAACTTGGCATAATTGTCTTTACAATGTGCCAGGAAAAAGCTTTGAGTGAATTAGGACACTTAAACATAATGGGAGTTTGGTGTTCACTGTCCTTTGTTTTCTTTATTGTCATGGACGTTTCATCACCGGACTTGGTGATACCACCTCCTCAGCACTAACTTCATAAAGAAGTGAAGCATATTCTAATGTGAGACGAAAGTTAAGATGATGTTTCCGTTGTAAGGAAATCGAGCTACGAGATGTGACTGCTGACTAGACCATGTGAATTCATGACGCATTCCCATTGCTTAGTCGTACTTCTACTGGCTACCTAGTCGTGACTTTTTATCCAAATCAAAATCTAACTGATTTTTCTTTCTTGGACTTCTCGATATTAGGATGACATATGTGTATATGTGAAGAATGCCATGGTAAGCGAAAAGATAACGAAGAAGGATAACAGGAGTGACTTTTAGTTTACTGAAGATCAAGGAAGGAATATCGTCTGAAGGTGATCTTTCTGAATTCAAAGTTCAGTTTGGATCAAAATTACTGTAAAAACCTCATCTGTGTTGAGTTGGCATTAGCGAGCTATATGTAGTACTATTTTTGGCATATAATGTATAGCACTGAAAGCTTTATTAGTACATCTGCGTGATGCCCTGTGTTTACCTAATGAGCTAAGCCATAACTTTTCATCAGTTTCAGTTTGACACTTCCGAGCCAAGCTATTAAATGTTCTCGTATTCAAAGATGTATCTGCCTAATCGTACGCTCTATGTAACTTTTTCCACAGGAACAGTTAAGGTGATGTATGCGAGATGAAGAGGTGAGCTTAGATAGGCTATCCTTTTGTCTTCGATTGAACAATGGCCAACTAGTAGAAGGTATGTAGAAACAGCCTGCATAAATCGTTCTATGGATTGCTGTAGTTAGGCGTGAGGTTAGGATATTACTTGGAGCATTTACCTTGAATAATACAGGTATTCATTAGTCCTTTTCCTATACATTCTTTATGGAACAAATCGATCTTGATCTAAATGCCAGCACTCCTGGTTATATTACTTTTGTACTTCATCGACAAGAAGCTGAGAAACTGTGTATACTATGACTTAGACGTCAGATATCTGTGTATATATTCTTCTCAGCAAAGACTCATCTTCTTTTCCTGTCAGTCAACACATCAAGAAAATGTATCGAATAACTGATGATAAAGAACTGATGGATGAGTACTACTGAAATGATTCATTAGTAGTTAACATCACTCATCACTGGTGAAACTTATCCATCTGTTTCTCAACCTCTCTAGGTTTTTAAATACAACTGGGCAACTTTATGTGTAATCTATTTATAATGGGTGATGATTGAAGATGAAATGAAAAGTTGGACCGCGGCCGGATTCGAACAAGGGACCACCGGGTTACCGGCGCAGTGCTCTGCCGACTGACTACGAGATGTGACTGCTGACTAGATCATGTGAATTCATGACTCATTCCTATTGCTTGATTGTACTCCTACTGACTGCTTAGTCATGACTTCTTATTCAAATCCAAATGTAACTGAATTAGAGAGGGAGAGATAGCCAGTATCAATACTAGTCTGCCAAACCACGATTATCTGAGATATTCAAAATGGTAATCTATTTGTTTGTTGGGTGTGACTATAAGTTATCCTCAAGTGTTATAGCATTTGTCTGAAAATATGTATTTTATATGTTCTATATGCATACATTCTGAAGTGAAAACTGCAATCATAAATCCTTTCGAATGTAATTTGAAACCTCAACTAACTCATTGTGATTTGTAAGCGTCATTCATCCTGAATAGTTGTACTTACTTTCCGCCTAAGAAATGGAAGTTCAACCAACACTTTGCACATGAACAAACGGTATGAATTACGATTCAATGACAGACGGCATTGTAAAAACTATGCATAATGGTAGGATATTCATACAGATCACAGAAAATGTTCATATTTTCATAAACAACCCAATAGGCTATGGTAGACACGACAACACTTGGGGATAACTTTTAGCCTCACCCTTGTTTGTTTGTTTTTATTACAGAAGGAGATTCAAAGTCATCTCCACGTGATCATGCTGAACTAAACTCTAATCTATACAAATTACGCAATATAATATCAACATGGGTATGGTTAAATTTAGATGTTGGTTATATTCAAGGCATGTGTGATTTGTTAGCTCCAATCTTAATTATCATGGAAGATGAGGTGATTTCATTCGCTTGTTTTACCTGTCTAATGAAATGGATGCTACCAAATTTTCCACTGGTGAAAGAGTCATCTATATCAAAATCTTCTGGATCATCATCATCATCATCGCCATCAGTAATGACATCTTCAATAATCAACGATATACCGACAACATTAACTTCAAATGACACCGGGATGAATCGTAAAACGTTGTTACAATTAGCTGTCAAGGCAGCTAAACGTCGTACTACTTCAACACACATTAGAGAAAGTGGTGTAGACAATAGTTATGCTGGTAAACACTTCCCCGTTGATACTAATCTACGTTGTACAAGTAAATTGAAAGAAGAAGCGACATTACAAGAATCTACTAAGCGATCAGATGCTATTCAACAAGAAATCATTGAATTCACATCAAGTGTCATTTCTCCGTATGAAAGAGTATTGCTAAATTCCACAGGATTACCAATGTCATGTATGGATATGCGATTTTCTTTTCTCCAGTCCTTAATAGAGGTGAGAGTAATAAAGTGTTTTATCGTGTAAAGGTGTTGTTGACCATTTAGAAGTGAGTTTCCATGATGAAGTGATTTAAACTGTGATGGTGTGACATGAAATGTTTCAACACTGCTTCAAGTTTCAGTAACAGCCTTATCATTATTCTTATTATCCAGTTGTGGCACAATTGGTTTAGCCAGTTGACTTTTAACCTATCAGTCTTGGGTTCGCACTCTTCTCCGTTTATTGTGACTCCAGCAGTCAGCCAGTAGTATGATACACTCGTTGCGTACTGCATGAAGTTTGCTGAATGCAGTTCAACTTGTTCTCGTGTGAGAATATTTTTTTGAAATATATACTTAGTCATTAGGCTTACAGTCCGATCTTTTAGTTCCCAGGAATTGGATGATGAAAGTGATCTTAGGTCAGTCATATTGAATCAATCACCTCAAACCGATGAGCTGAATTATTCAGTTGAACTACAAGATTTAATGTAGAGGTCTAAGCTGGAAATTATCAGTACAGTAGTATTATCTCGTTTTCCAGTGTCTTTTGTAGTAACACAAGGCCGTAGTGCTCTATGACATTCACTTTGGAGGTTTGTAGGGATTTTTTGATCGATTTCAAGTTAGTAGTCATCTTGGACTGACATCCCTAGTGGGATCATGGGTGCGCATTGCTGAGGAGTAGCGTACTAGGACGAAAAAACTGTCCAGTGCCTCCAGGTCCTCAATGGCTATCCAACTGTTGTCAGTCCGTGATCAATACTACCTCAAAATCCAAGTCCCCGTATCAAAATGCATTACTGTATAGTGTTCCTTACTGACATGCTTCCAGGTGGATATCCCGAAGTTTTAATGAGAAGCTGTGATCTATGGGATCAATCAGTCAGAAGGGAAGTGGATGCCAACTGTAGACCTTGGATAATAGTCGTGCTATATCCCGAAATGGCGGAAGTTGAAAACTGTGAACCTTTGAAATCTGACCCAGTGGCTGGGTGGTTAACGCGTCCGCTGTGAGACCAGAAGGCTGTGAGTTTGATCCCTTATGAGGTCGTGAGTGCGTACTGCTGCCGAGTCACATACCGGAACGAAACACCTAGCTGTCCAGCGCCCCCAGATTTTCAATCGTTCTCCTCCAACTGATCGATGTGAACTATAGAATCGGTTGTCTAGATTGACTGGTCCATGATAAATGAACAGTCTGTCGAATGTGTATTGTGAATCTACTTCAAAGAGTTTAATTTGCTGAAGTCTCAATTTAAAAATTACCACGTTTTAGCTTAAGGCAATGAAATCAGCGCATACGTGAACTATTTAGCATAGCTCCCTTATAATAATTACTAATTATATCACAGTAATTATCGGAAATAATGGAGATTGGATTACATTATGATAGATTTCGATCAGCATGAAGTTGTTTAACCTCCAGTGACTAATCAGTGTACTTGATGAAGTCCTATAGGAGGTCAATCGTGGACGGAATAGCTCAGTGATAACTTAGTCTAGCTATAGTATTGGGTGACGCGGGACATCAGTTCCATCTTGTTGACGACTGCCAACAAGAGCGAAAATTAAGTTAAGTACAGTTGGCTTGCTAACAATATGATTTGAAAATTTAACTATCATACTTACTCACTAATCAGATTAATATATGACTTTAGATACTGAAACTAAGTTCTCACTTATTGTGTATACTGAACGGGGATAGAGACATCATGAAGGCAGTAAAATAAATTGAAAGTATTTTCATGAAATTGTATCAACACCCATATCCAACTCTCCCTATCTTTCCTGCTTTCCTATTTTAGATTTTTGATCCAGAAATGAATCAGCACTTATCTAAAAAAGTACCTGACGGACAATTATTCTTTGCATATCGTTGGCTTCTGTTAGATTTTAAACGAGGTAAGTGATTAGATGCAGTTGAATATTTATCTTTTTAAAGGTTAACACTACTCGTTAATGTAACATTTCTCAAAGTATTGCTCCAAATCTGTTAATCATGTTAATAGGTGTGTAATTCAACCAGTTTAATAGTATCCACATAGAACCTGATATTATTGTGTAACACTGCTAGCTGATACACTTCATATCAGCACATCAAAGTAAGAATCACAAAGATCAAAGATAAAGAAATAAGAAGGAGATTAAACAAAAGAGAACAAGGATGAATGAGAAAACACTGAAGTTCAGTACGAAGATTGAGATGAAAATAATGTATCTGTGCCATTGTAATTGATTTGAAGCTGTATCATCTAGAATCTCCGAACATCTGATTCCAGTTATCAGTATGTCCCTACACAGTTGAAATTTTTCTTGAATTGATGCGATGTTTAGGTCTAACCATCTATTGCTACTTTCCAGTCTGAATCTACTTCTTCCAACATTGTGCGAAAAAGTGGATGATGAGTAGGTATGTCCCACCTACTTGGGTTGATGAAGGTTCATAACGTCATCAGATGACTTTCTTCTTCTACTTGAAACTGAACCGATGTAGCTGTTCTACGACATACGACTTGTGCTACAGAGGCACTGGTGGTCGAACACCTCAAACCTTCTCATGCTCCCTCCCTCTACTTACCATGTTTCACAGCCAGACAGAAGAAGACAGCGAAGCGATGAGCAGTATACTTCACGTTTAGTAGGCAAACGTATATCACAGCGACACTATGAATGACATCAACTTGCTTCCGCCAGTCGAGTCTCTTGTGTTCTTATCAAGATTTCGACAGGCATTAACCCATCAGAGGTGATCTAACCTGCGAATTTAGTTAAGTGGTCAACAGGTTCAGCCACTTCACTGTCTATACTAAGATATGACACTAACGCAACCAGTCCTGGATTAAGAGTTTGCACTTGCATGAAGAGTAACGCACCAAAAAGAAAACGATTTTAAAACGATCATTCAGATTGTCAGCATCTTCACATAACAGGACTATGTCATCTGCTTAATTTAAGTTGACTAGGGAGTGTCCTATGACAAGGCTAAACCCTATAAAGTGGAACAAAGTGGGGGAGACCTATCTAGGCAAGTCTGTGACAAAACTAAACCGTGAGGTGTTGTGGCATTGTCTAACTGTGGAGGGGGTACCGAGCAGGTAATATAAAGCTTATCAAAGCTGTCTACTCGAACTCACGCAGCCATGTCAGGGCTTACGGAAAGTACTCAAGTGAGTTGACAAAAACAAATAGTGGTGTTTGGCAGGGATTCCCACCGCCTCCGTTCCTATTCGACTACGTATAGACGTACTAATGGGCATAACCTCAGATACGTCTAACTTCAAAGGCATTGACCTACTCCCTGGAGATCACCTAGTTGACTTGGAATATACAGGTAATATTGGCCTACTAGGTGAAGACATTCACGAAATGAAGGGTCTTCTGAACGCGTTGAGCAGAAACCTGAGTATGTTTGACTGACATGGGTTTCACACCTGTAAAATGTAACGTGATGCTCCAGAACTGGTGTACAATGACTCCCAGCTTAATGATAAAGAGTGAAGTGGTGGAACATGTCGACCACTTCACTTGCTTGAGGAGTTGCATCAACTCGGACAGGCTGGTTGCTGACAAAATCCCAGCTTGGATACAGAAGGCCTGTTTGACATTTGCTAACTTGCGCCACCTGTGGCGCCGGTGAGATATTCAACTTTGTCAAAGGACGAATATACTGCCCTGCAGTCCGTTCTGCCCTGTTGTCCGGCTATGAGATGCGCTAGTCGACTGAAATGACTTGGACATGTACCATGCGTGCCGAGCCACCGCCTACCTTGACGTGCTATGCTAGAAGTTGGATTAGAATGGAAAAAGGTTCAGGGTGGCCAAAACCAAGACATGGTTTGAGTCGATAAAGTCGATGACTGCTGACTTGAGTCATGTGGGGAGATGTAGACTGCCTGGTTTGGGTTCTTGAGACGAAAGGAATCAACGGTTGAGGACACTTGGTGACATAATCTTCTCAGGCATCATTTGAGCGTCTAATGACTGTAGAACTTATCACAAAAAAGTCTCTTTTATATTGATTGAGACCAGTCAGAGGCTTGCATATGTGATTGCATACCTTAACTAACACTTGCATCCTTAAATAGGTGTTGTACTAGCCAATTTCGGCCTGTTGCACTGCTTCTTTTCAGATTACTTACAGCTTACTCGAATTTCGCAAGTGTTTGAGGAGCGGTCTCATGTCCCATTCATGATGCGTCTGGGTAGTAGGCAACGGTGTACTGGCTAGAAGCAAATTAAACTTTTCCTCGAAGTGTTCCTCTCATCCGTCGTGTCTTTTCCCCTGGGAGTGGTTCGCCGAGGCATCCTTCTTCACTATAGTCTTACTAACGATTTCCTTCTTCGCCTCAGCTTCTTTGATAAGTCTAAATAGATTTCAACAGTTATCTATCACTGCTACCTTTTCCATCTGTCTAGTATTCACTGTCTACGACTTCTGAGAATCATCCCGTACGCTTTCTGTCAGACTACATTTGAATTACTTTCGCTCATAATTGTTTGATGGTTTCAGGGACGCGTTCACATGGGTCCAATAAGTCAGAAGAAGATGCTTAGATTTAATGATGTGTTTAGCTTCTTTCTGAAAGTCATTTACCGTCTTTAACTCTGTTTTTAGAGCAGACTATAGATGAGACCAGGCGTTTTCGTTATGAGTGGTCCGATAACCGTCTAGTTAGTTTTTCTCTGAAAAACACTTTAGTATTCTCATCATCTGGCTAGACTGAAACTGATATTGAAGTTTTAGTTTTTCTTCGTTTATTAAGGTGAAGAAGTGTACATGCTCAAACAAACATGTTATCGCTGTCCAGGGATGCATACTGTGACAATTGTAGAAGCAATAGCCATACACCTTTGTGTGTACACAGACAATTTAGTCCTACACTACACCTACCTTCGTAAACTTTGTTTTCTTACCAATATCAGGATCAACCATATCACTCTCCCCTTTTTGTACTCATCTTTCTTAATTTTAATCCCCTATTGTCCTAATTCTTCTGTTTCTCTTCCCTCCTTCGCTTTAATATATATTGACTTGACAAGTAAATGTATGAGGGATCAGATTATTCGAAATGTATTGCGAAAATACACTTCGTCTTCTAATTATTATTATTTTTTTCCCTTGGGTTCCTAGTGGAACATAGGGCTTCAGTAGCACGCCTCTATTCCACTCTCTTCTCTTCAGTCTTTTCAACCTGGCTCCACGACTGCTCACAAGCTTTCATTTCTTCCTCATATGATCTCCACAATGTCACCCTCAGCTGTGACGCCCAACTCGTCGTTTCGCCTTTGGATTCCATTTGCGGGATGGGCTGGCACGTGATGTCCTGAATCGGCCTTCTGAGTGTTTGTCCATCGTCTTCTAATTACACTATCTAAATTCATGAAAAGGACTAATCTGTTTCGAATATTTAAGTTATTGAACAGTTGTTATTTCTTCTGTTTCATTTCTATCAGATTTTCATTGGTTCTAAGAAGAGAACTGAAAAAAGTACAAAGCTTTACGCTTAGTAACTTGAAATAACTTCCTAGTACACATTTAATGGTAGTATGATGAAGGGATACTTGAATTTAGGTTGTGAAATCATAACTTTTCAAGGTCATTTGAATGTCAGTCTCTGATACCTGCCGATGATGATGATGATCAAAGAGAGTATCAAGCGAAAGCGTTCAATGCTCTTCTTCTATTTCTTTTATTTTTGACATCCATTTTCATATCACTAGTATATTTACATTCAAGCTTTATTTATTCACTGCCTTCTTACTCCAGTATTATATAAGCTTAGATTCTTTTTGTAAGCTTTTACCTAATTTGATAGTGTTGATGAATCCTGAAACCAGAATCTGCGTTTTTAGTCTTATTAAGAACTGGTCAACTGAATGAAACTGCTTGCATGAGACTGGAAGCTAATACCTTATCATTCTAAATATCAAAGCGTTAAGTAATAGGCCAGTGGGGCATGTTAACCATCATTTCTGCTATTGGTATTAATTGTTGTCTATTTGTTACTTGTAATTTCATCTTAATTATATATCTATCTCATTTTATTTTACTCATTATAGAATTGAAATATGATGATATCTTTCCTGTATGGGAAACAATATGGGCATCACGTAGACTTGTATCCTATGATTTTGGTATATTTTTCGCTTTGGCCTTACTTGAATATTATCGTGATATTGTTATCTATTATAATATGGATGTAACAGAGATTATAAGATTCTATAATGGTAAGTTATTGAACAGAAGGAAAGCAGACATTTTATAGAGATCATATTGTACTATGTTGTGCTGTGTTATGCTTACTATCAGATATTTTAGTGTTTACTTTTCAGGATTATCATGACTTCCCGCCTACTCCTGTAAGAATTTCATATTCGCACTTACAACTAATGACAGACAGTAAAGTTTACCTTCTTTGATTTGAAGTAACCTAGAAAATGAATTGAATTATGCTTTCTGTATTCAACAAAGACAATGATGTCTAATGGATAATGGATTACCATGGTCATTAGTGTATAATAGAAAAGTTAGTTTCATGTTGATATTCATCACAGAGTGGCATCAGTTAGGTAACCAGTGAAAACCTGGGAACACTGGAGAGCTTGTAGAAGTGAATAAATAATCACAAGCCTCATCAGTGATTTGTTTCGAGATGAGTTTTCCCTAAGTTTTCATTAGAAGTCATGACCTGTAGGGCAAGTTGAACTGAGGACAGGTACTCAATGATGGCATTGAATGGAGGTATCACTATATCATGAACTGAAAGAAGTAGGAAAGTGTGAATCATGGAATTCTGACTCAGTGGTTAAGTGATAAAGTGTGTTCAACATGGGAGCTAAAAGTCCTGAGTGTGATACCGGGTTGGGTTGTGGTTGCACATTATTGATGAATTCCAATGTTGGACGAAACAGCTCTCTAGTGCTTCCAGACTTTCAATGGTTCTCCAACTCGTATCAGTCTATGAGGAATACCAACAAGAAATAATAAATTCTTACCAACCACTGGAAACATTGGTGCTTACTCTGGTGAAATGATCTTTTTTAACTCAATGATATGAACTGATTTCATTACGTACTGTTCAACAACTAAATAAAACTAAGCATGATACAGAAGTCACTTATCAATCATTCCAGGTACCTCCACTTTCAGTCAGCGAATTACAGGTTCGAAAACCATTCCATGTGCTAAGGTCCGAGCAGTTAGGTAGTCATATGATTAGCCCTCACACACAACAGGTGTATATGTGACTCATTGGCTTCTGCAAGCAAGTGAGCCTGCATGTTGAGTGCATTGAGGGGTTTGTATTTCACTGAATGATAAACATATTCAAACCTGCTGGTTGGATGCGATTGGTAGGAAGACCTGGACTATCGTTGCATGCTTGATAGCACTAGTCAGCAAGGCATACTTACAACCTCGACGAAACTGATGTCCTGCTTGAGACTCGAACCCTTGTCATCCATTTTTGTAGTCAACAGCTTTACCACTGCGCTATTCGTGCCGATTTCACGTCCTGTAGGACTGGGTCATATGTATCAATAGGTCACAGGAGTGCAATCAATTTCATTTTGTCTAGTCCTGAATGCAGACTGAATCCTCTTGATCATGTTTGCAATGTGGCAATATGGTCTGCACTCAGGACTAGAAAACATGAAATTGGTTGCACTTCCGTGACCAATCAGTGTATGTAACCCAGTCCTAAAGGAGGTTAGTCACGGCCTGAATAGCTTAGTAGTAAAATCGTTGACTACAGCATGGGGTGGTGGGAGTTTGAGTCCCAGGTGGGACATGAGTTCTGTCAAGGTTGCGCAAATGCCTTGCTGATGAGTGCATCCAACCAGCTAACATCTACTAATGTGCCTGGCGCTGCTGAACCTTTTAACTTGGTGGCCACATTGCAAATATGGTCGAGATGATTCGATCTACACTTAGGACTAGACGACATGAAATTGGTTGCACTCCCATGACCAATGAATACAGAATTAAACTTCTATACAAAACAGTAATTCATGTTAACCAGTCAGTTGTGCAGTGATGGATCCAGGTGTACGACTGTTTTTTTTACTAAATGTTTCGTATCAGTTGGTCAAGGATGTGATATAGAGTTCAATTATTCATCAAGGAGGTTTCTTCATTCTGTCCTAGAATACTCGACAGAAATGGGAAGAAATTAGGCTTGAAAATCATTTGAATGCAATAGAGTACTGAAAGCTTGCGTTTATGAAACAGATAAACATATCATGATGTAACAGAATTTTAAAATGTATGCACCAGACGTTTAAGCCATTTTCAAATGCTTTCAAATGTCACATTGAATTTTTCGCTTCAACAAAATGAGTAGTACACAAATCGATTTCTTAAGAGTTGATACTGATTGCTGACTAAATACCGTCTTCATTGAATTACTCGTGTGTGATAGAATCACTGTGTCAACAATGTTAAGGTTAGACATAGGATAATAAACAAAGAAATCAAGTCATTCTGTCAGGAGGTTTTTGGGAATTTTGGTTTCAAAATGATAATTATCAAGAACTAATATCAGTTAAAGAACCGCGGAAGCTGGGTTCGATCTCCAGTGGAGTCGTGGACGAGTCCTGCTGATGAGTCCTATATTAACGAAATAACTGTCTAGTTTGTGATGAACACCAATTTAAAAGTAAGTTAGTCGATGAAGTTACCAATATACAACTAATAGGATAGTTTGATTATATGTTATGCATGTCCAACTGCCGCCGACTTCAACATATAATGTTATCCAGAGTAGGATTGTATTGAAGGGATACTAACGGTAATCAGACTAAAACCATAAGACCACTCTATGCTCTTATGTGTCAAGTTCTACGCCGGTTTTTCTGTCTGTGTATGTCTCTCTCTATGTGTTTCTGCTAACCAGTTATGGGGTCAGTTGATTGTGATTGTCTAACATGATCCTCTGAAAAAGGGATTAGAATCTTATCAAGTTCTTAGTATTCTCCTACTGCTGACTGATGATATCGAGGCATATCCGTGTAGTGACCGATATGCCAACAGAAGTTGATGAACTGGACCCAGTATAATAACGAGAAATGACAAGTTTCAATAAGTATTATAGACCAAAAGTGTTTTTTGAACTTTCTTTTGGATCCATACGGAAGTAACTAAGATATTCAAGTGTGAGTCCTTTAGCTCTGAAGGAATGTGTAATATCAACAACCACCCTAATTGGATATAATTTCGTCAAGTTCTTTCTATGCGTAAGTTCGAACCCCCTTTTGGCTTTCAGTAAACTTTTGAGATTGCATTCATCATGGACTGACATCAATTAGAGAACCATTGAAAACCTGGGATCACTGGACAACTGTTTTGTTCTAGCACCAGACTCTTCAGCATTACACATCCATGGCCCAGATGGGGACCGAACTCGCGGGCTTCAGGTTTCATGGAGAACGTACTGACCATTCAATCATGGGTCAGATTTCAATGGCTAAATGTTTCCAGCTTCTGTCATTTCGGGACAGAGTGCGACTATCATCCAAGGTCTTCAGTTGATATTCACTTCCCTTCCTACTGGTTGACCTCACAGGTCACAGCTTCTCATTAGAACTTTGGGATAGTCATCTGGAAGCATGTCACTAATCAGCATTATACAGTAATATATTTTGAAGTTGATGAGGATTTTAATTTTCGGGTAGTATTCATTACAGACTGAAACCTGAGGGTCATGAGTTCAATCCCTATCCCGGTCGTGGGTGAGTACTGCCGAGGGGCCCCACACTAGGACGAAACAGCTGTCCAGTGCTCCCAGGTTTTTAATGTTCCTTCAACTAATGTTAATCCATGACGAAAGCTACCTCGAAGAAATAAAATCCCAATTAACCTCGAAATACTGAAGTAAATTGTTCCCTTTTGTCGCTTTGTATGATGCCGTTTTCCTGTTGCATTCTTATAGCTTTCAGTATGCTACTTAATTTGTCCGCCTCTAGGTTTTTTTTAATTGTGTAGAAATGTGTCCATAGTCTACTAACAATTCACATTATTAAAGTAGCATCCATCATTGCTTGAAATCAGTTGGAGAAGAGCCACTGAAAACCTGGAAACACTAGACAGCTAGGTGTTTCGTTCTAGTGCAAGACTCCTCAGTAGTACGCACCTTAAGGACATTAATTGGTCTATTGCACTGAATCGCTTTGGTGCAGAAGTTGGTCATTATCTGTTCATCTGTGTAGTTAGATTTCACGCCAACGATTCATTTTTGTTCTAAGTAGCGACTGTCCAGTTGTCAGTCACGTACAACATCTTGTAATTTATTCAGTATCTATCTGTTTTACATCCTAGAATTAGTTAATTTCCTGGTTTCACTCATCGACAGTTAACCTTCTTATCAATTTATTGAAAGTTGCTGATAGAGGGGGGTGAGTGAAGATGAGTCGAAGATTTGGGTTGCTGCGGGGTTCGAACCAGTCCTAGGCAAGTGTCGTGACAACAACTGATCCCCGTTTGCACAATAGACGTCTTTAGTGCCCCAATGTCGTGGTGGATAACTCTCCGGCATTTGGAGCGATGGGTACTGGGTTCGAGGCCCACTCGGTGTACATCCAGCTAAGAAGTGAGTCCCAAATAGGACGAAACGTGCATCCTAGATTCCTTCACTAATCACCAAGATCAATATAACAGCCGTATACCATTTTAGCTATAATACTCAGTTGCTAACATCGTCTTGACTTCACTTCAATCGCTAGGTTTCTCGCCAAGCTGTTATGTGGCCACCTTGATGTATGACTAACTGTTCATCTGCAACTGCCGTATCTGTCCTACCAGGATTTCCCATCCCATTGAAAACCCAACTGAATTAGGAGGGAATGTCAAGTTGATTGTCAATAACACTCTAAAAGGTTATCTTTGTGCATTGTGAAATCACGTGACACATCGTTTGGTGGTTGAAGTAAGGTTAAGACCTTCCCAGTCAGCTGGTCTCGTAGGTAAGCTGGTAAAGCGCCAGATCATTATCGTGCAGTGACCCAGATTTTTATTTTGTTTTCAGTCATCACGCATGCAATGCTATGAGAAGTTAGATTAAGCTGAAAGAGAGCTCAGAGTGGCCAGATTGAAATGTGACACTAGTCCATAATATACCTGACTGTTGTTCTGAGGCGTGTGTGGAGGTGTAGTCTACCTGACGAAGCTTCCTGAGACTTAGTGAAATGCTTGAAAACCAGTCACAACAACGCAGGTATATCTAAAGCTTCAATGTTAGGACTAACATTCACTTTTAAATTTCCTCTCCTCCTATTCACTTTTATCTAGTTTGACATCAGTTTTCTTCTATCCAAGTGTTCGTTGATTTTTGCTACTTTGAAGTGTGTCAAGTTGAATTGATGCACTTATATGCGAGATTCTACACTGATTTTGTCTGTTCATCTGTATGTCTATTTGCCTGCTAATCATCAATACTATCAGTGGCAAACAAAGACTATTAGAGTTAATAATCCTATCGAGGGATGATTCGTTAGATGGTGTGTAACATAGTTGACAACAATGACGGTTACAACTACGAACAAACATGTTCATGCTTATACAGCTTAGCCAACAAACATGCTGATAGTATATAAGTAATTATTATTATTATTTGTTCCTTGAGTTCCTAATGGAACATGGGGCCTCAGGAGCACGTTCCATTCCACTCTGTTCTCTGAAATCTTTTGAACCTGGCTCCACGACAGCCCACAAGCTTTCATTTCTTTCTCACATGATCTCCTCCATGTCACCCTCGCCTAGAACACCCACCTCATTGTTTCCCATCTGTGGTCCATTCGGCGACCTGGCCTGGTGCATGATGTCCCCAGTTGACCTTCTCAGTGCATGCACAATCCATCTCCACTTCCTTCCATTGCATATTTGTTCAGCGATAGCTTCTTGGTTAGTTGGTTTGTTCCCAGCCAGCTAAGTTCCTTGTTGCTTCTTATTTCTGGCCATCTAATATTCAACAACGAGCCAGCGTAGGTGGCAGTTGTTGATGAATGTCTGTAGTTTGTTGGAAATGCTTTCATAACCCGCCAAGTCTCTCAATCATACAGGAGCACTGACTTGACTGGATTAGTGTTGAAAATCCGGATCTTGTTCCACATGGTGAGTGGAGTGCAGTAGATCTCCACACTGGTTTCAGGCTAATCAACGCTTGTCTTGATTTTCCGTCTGTGCCTGTGCTGCTACCTGTAGTTGAAACAGTGCTGCCCAGATGGGTGAAAGAGACTACTTCCTTCAAGTTTCTCCTGTTGATAGTGACTGGAGTTTGTTGTTGTTGGAGTTGTTGGTTGGGTATGTTCATCACCTCTACCTCTGTCTTCTCTATGTCCACTGAAGGAAGTCTCGTCTTCGCTGCCCTGCCCTGCTTCTTCTGACAACTTGTTAGTTTTCGCCTGTAGATCTTCAAGTTTGTGTGACATCAGACACAAATCGTCGGTGAAATCCAAATCTTTCAGGTTCTTTTCCGCGGTCCAGTATATAAGTAAACCTGACAGCAAAATAGTTTAAATCTGTTCGTGGAGGATATCATCTTGGATGCAACCATAATCACCAGCATATCTAATTTTATGTTGATTCGTTCCTATAATCAATAATGTTAACTGTTTAGGTATAACTTCTATTTATTTATTTTCAGAATTAACAGAGCAACATGATGCAATCACATTAGTGGAATTGGCACGTAGTTATGTCTTTCAATTACAACATTTAATGAAAGACATGTAGGTGATTGATGACCCGATTGATTGATTAGCTGTATTGGTTGTCTGTGTGTATCAATTATTCGACATGTAGACAATTAATCATGGAGTCTACTTACAGATCACAATATGATGATTAGTTCTGTCTATTTGTTTATTGTTGTTTTTTGGTTGAGTTTCAAAATCATAATAAAACTCTGCTCAAATTGACAAACATTATTTTGTATACTTTTAAAGATTAAACGAAAAAAAAATTTGAGTATAACGATAAGCAATAATGAACACTGTAATCTGGCTTTATTTCATTTTGTTTAAAAATTGTATATTTGAAATGCTTTTTCTCTTCAATTTGACATGTAATTAAAAATCTGTGATATATATCAATCCTGTGTATAGTATTTTTATGAGATTTGCGAAGATTTATTTCTTGCTTTTTTATTATACTACTGGTATATTTGTCAGTAAAGCCTATTTTGTTGTGACTATTCTCACTGGTTATATTCATGTGTATACGACAAATAAAAAAGAATATACTACAGAATATAACTGATGTGTGTTCTGAGTGATGAGAATGTGTTTGTTTAATTTTCGTTTTTTTTCAATCTAAATTTTCAGTCTTTCTTGAAGTTGTGATATATTTGTTCTTTTGATGATACACGAAATATTTTGAAATTAACCGTGTAACAAAAGTTACTTTTATCATTATTATTTGTCCCTTGGGTTCCTAGTGGAACATAGGGTTTCAGTAGCATATCGCCATCTCACTCTATTCTCTGCAGTCTTCTCAACTTGACTCCACCACTACCCACAACCTTTCATTTCTTCCTCACATGATCTCCACAATGTCACCCTCATCTGGGACGCCCAACTCGTCCTTTCCCATGCGGGTTCCACTCAACAACCTGATCTGGTCTGATGCCTGATGTCCCCAAACGGTCTTCTCAGTGTATGTCTAATCCATTCCATCTCACTTTCCTCTGCATATTTGTTGGGCGATAGTTTCCTGGTTGGTTGGTTCATTGACAGGCAGCCAGCTGGCCAGCCAGCCAGCCAGCCAGAGTTCCACCTTGCTTATTCTTATTATACTGGCCATCTGATCTGATCTTCAGTATCAAGTGAGCACAGGCGGAAGCCGTTGATGAATGACTGTAGTTTGTTGGGAATGGTTTTCGTAACGCGCCAACTTTCACAACCATCATATAGAAGCGCTGACTTGAGATTGATGTTGGAAATCCGGATCTCGATCGTGCCTTATGCTGAGTGGACTGGAGTAGATCTCCACACTGATTATTTCAGATTAGTGAAGACCTGTCCTGCTATATTCCGATCCTGGCTTTGACGTTGTCATCTGTGCCACTGCCTGTAGTTGAAACGATTCTGCCTAGGTAAGTGAGGTAGATAGAAGATACAACTTCCTTTGGATTTCTCTCGTTGATGGTGATTGGTGCTTGTTGTTGTTGTTGTTGTTTGTGACAGTTGGCTATCTTGATCACTCTGTCTTCTCTACGTTCACCTGTAGGGAGTTCCGTGTTCGCTACTCTGCTTCTTGTGTCAACTTGTTAGTTTCTGCTTGTAGATCTTCGAGTCTGTGCGACAAGACATTAGATATAAATGATCATCGACGAAATGCAAATCTTCTAGGTCTTTTCATCGTCGAGCTAGCGTATGCCCCTCTTCTGCTCCTCACAGTTTGCTACATTATCCAATCTGCCACAAAAGGGTTAATTTTAACTATTGAGAAATTGTTTATCTAGCAAAATGCACTTGTAAGTATTACGTAAGAAGCATAGATATGATCAGTGTATGTCTACTGGGACTCGCTTAACAAGCAAATATTCTTCAGATATTTATTCTTTGACTATTTATCCTGATGTCCGACTAGGTTTATCCCAAAGGTGGTCACCACTTCTTATGAGAACTTCGGGAAATCCCATATCGAAGTAAGTCACTCACTGATCAGTACTTCTGTGATTATAATAGAGAAGGAATAAGAAACGTTTATTTGCTTATTGATCCATGCTTGTAGCAGGTTAGGGTATCACTTTGCAGCGGGCACCTTGTATACAATGTCCCGAATATAAGAAAGAGTTGATACGACGATAATTACGCAAGCCTCACGGTTTCAGCAAATATAACGTATAATAATGCAGTGAGTTTCAGACCTTGCCTGTCGTGCTGCTCAGATATTGGTGGGTTGGATGAAAAGTGATAGCACTTCTAAGTACCATCACGAAGAAACGGGCATCAAAAAAGAAGTTCCATAACTGGGTAAGCACCGGTTGACGGCTGTGTGGAACTTAAGGAATGTCCCACGGTTTGTCGAAAATCAGCATTTTTAGAGAAAACAATATGATGTAAATTGTCTGGACCGTGTTTGTATATCTGCGGAAAACATTTCGAACAATCTGATCACACAATACTTGACATAGGTATTTATATGAAAATTCATTAAGATGAGGGTTGAGTATGTGAAAAGAGTTCAAGTAAGAAAGCTGAATTGATGGTTAAATAACAATGAAAATCAATAGATCGAAAATAATAGTACATCGAACTTGGTTTCCAATTTGAATTCACCAAGGGAGATTTAGTAATGCGTTAACGAATTGTTTTTGAACACACAAAGAAGACTTAAACTTCCAATTACTTAAGGCCTCAACAAATTTAAGAATCGGTCCGCAACATGTTTCGTAAATAGGTTTAAAGAGGTAGCTAAGTCAATCCTGTGACCTGTTTCAATGATGTGTTTCGGGATCGAAGAACTTGGACATCTTCTACCATTGTTTATGGGTTCAAGTGATTTAATTTGCTTGTGAAGCCTCTTTGAAATATGTTCCGAAGCCCTTACTTCCATGAACCTATGAGTCCTCCCAATGTATGTGTGACCACACGAGTACATTTGAGTTGGTAGATGCAGTAGGATGTGACCTTGTCATTCACATTCTGTAAGGGTTAGGGAGAATATACAGGCTGTAGTTCCTGTTCAACAAACCTTAGCTGCATAGTAAGTCCTTCTAAAAGCATCATTAAGTATATGCTTAAAGATTTCAGCATGAGAGAGTCACATTTGCATGGAAGATTGATAAAGATATCCTTTTTTGGGGAAAGTTGAAGATCTGGTTTTGGCGCTTTGATTATTTTGTGCTGCCTGATAAATTTTGATGGATAGTTATTTTTCAACAGTATTTCAATCAGTGTTCCCCTTTCATCTTCTAAAGTATCCTCTGTGGATAAGTGTTGAATTCTACTGAATAAGAATTAACTAACGCCGCTTGTACTGAACTGGACAAAGCTATTGCCCTGTCCATGTGGGTTTTTTGTAGACAGATCGTTTTATGGATCCATCCTGCCGCCGACTAATTAGTATTTCCAAGAAGGGCAAGCAGTCACCATCTACAGATGTCAAGGATATGCTGCTCTGTACTTCATCCAACCAGTTTAGAATTGAAGTGGACTGACCTGGGTTATCACAAAAAATTAAGATACTACTGACATGTCTTCGATGTAGATGGGCTTAGTTGGTTAGGTTCTCAGGGTCTAAAGGACTTCCTATGGCAACACCATCAACCTGGCGGAAATTTTTACCCTCAAATGTAAATTTAATATCACTTGTATATTAAAGTAGTAGGTCTTTTAAGTGATGCAAAGAAAAATTATGCATAGAAATATAATCATATTAAATGACTAAATGAACATTGATGAATAGTGAATTAACGTTAAATGAACATATAAATTTACTTTTTATGTTGACATGCTCAAGGCATTTGATTAGAGAATCACTTCTTAATGGGATCTAATAATTCCATTAGCCACTGGACAAGTTTATGTGTTGATGATTTGTACATTGACATTATAGGACGTAAAGGGGTTGTTGGGTTTGTTTACTTTAAGCAAACCATAAACAAGTGGGAATTGGGATTCATTTGATTTGGTAAATCAGATTTTTCTCTAGTAATAATGTTCATATCAAGCAGTTTTATTAGATATGAATGCAATGTAGTATCATTGTGAGTCGGATAGCGTAAATGTTTAGTCTATTCAAAGTAACACAATGGTAATGAATGTTGACTTTTAACCAAACTGCTGTCTACTAATTTTGGGAAATTATTTACATTTGTATATTTACAAGCTGCATAAGCATCAATTTGACGGTAAACTAAAACCTGGATCTAATTTTTTAATCATTCAAGGATGATCATTTTTCTCAGCTTCAATATGATGCAAAGTATAAAGTTGAAGTTAGAATGTAGTGAATGTCTAACTACTTGAATGCGTAGTAGTTCCTCATTTAGTAGTGAAAATGGATAGGCTACTAACACGACGCCATTGCATATTTCGTTTGGCAACCAGTATAGCTGTTAACCCCTATTTTATTCTTCACTGAAGTTTATTAATTAAGGTTGTAAATTGATCACTGAAAATGAGATAATATGATGCTGTGGTGTCATGTGTTCAAGTGACATGTATAAACGCCATTCAACATGATGAAAACTGTCAGAGACACTCTTTAAAATTCTTCACACTGAGAAGGAAGAACTGAGATTACTTAACTTCTCTACACACTTTCATATGACCTAGTATTCATAATGAAGTGATTTCCAAAGTTTCTGCAACTGCCATCAGTCCTTGATGAATTCCTCCCTGAAATCAGCTAGTAAATTCCTACAAACCCCCAAATGGAATCAATCTAATGTTCATTGGTGACTAAGGTGGGAAGGTGATTCTTGAAGTTCTAATGAGAAGTGATGGTATGTGGGACCAACCAAGTCGAACATGAGGATAGTTACCCAATGACAGCATTAGATGGAAGTCGCGCAATATCGTGAACTGATAGAGGTAGGAAATATGGACCATTGGATTCTGCCCCAGTGTCTCTATGGTAACGCGCTGGCTGCGGAACCCGAAGGTTGCTGGTACGATCCTGGTGGGGTAGTGGGTGCACACTGCTGAGGAGTCCGATACTAGTGGGACGAAACAGTTGTACATTGCTCCCAGGTTTCTTTTGTTCCTCCAACTGATGTTAGTCTA